CACATCTGTATTTCCATCTGCAATCCTACTTCTCACACTCAACAGTACTCTAAACAAACTTTGCTCAGCACGGAAACATGTGCCACACAGCACTGCTTATGCACACTGTGTACACACAAGCCACACCACCTCCCACAACTATCACGTTGTGCTTACAGTCTGTTTTTTTCTGGATGATCACACAGTTCTCCTGCACTATTTTCTGTTCGGCTGTGACGTCACAGGTGCTCCAATCTTTTCCTTTTCGTCACTAAACTCAGACAGAACGTGTTGATACTCCTCTCTTTTCAGCTCAACCCTCTCGTCTTCTCCCGTTGTGTGCTCTCTTTTCTATAGCATGGGGGTCTCTGCAGTTCCAGTATTGTATTTTCAATGCTTGAATTACTGTTCAGTCGGTCGTGTTATTCCTGTTTGTGAAGCTTATGTTTGCTACAAAAGGCGAGGTTGTAGTTTGAGCATGGATAGAATATGCAAAACAGAACAAAAAATAGATAGAATGGAAGTCTAATTTTCAATGCAGCATCCCCTGAGTGACAGTTCAAGTGAAAAATTCTTAAGTGCAGCGCCCATTAGAGGATCAAAACAAACCTTTTCCAAAGCATCATCATGCTGAGTGAAAATCACAAAAGCAGATCTGCACCATTCGCTTAGCCATCCTCTCCCTTGTTCATTTTAACAGTTTTTCTTTCTTCTCTTTTGAGTCTCTTTTCCACCCTATTCCTTTCTGTTTTCCTCTTTCCGGTCAATATATTTGCGTGGTTGTTTTTGCTTCCCTTATCTGAACCTGTTGTATGTTTGCTGTGCACACAGATAATCCATCATTGCCATCTAGCAGTAAGAGGGCTCTGAGAGAGCAAATAGAAAAAAACAGACCAATGAATAGAGACCAAAGCAAAGAAGAGAATAACCAGAGGAGAGAGATGAGAAAAACAGTGTTGAAGGTTTGACAGGAACCCAGCAGAAAATGCTTGTGCACCCTCTGCAGAAGAGGTCTGTTCTCAGGACCCCTGCGTGCACATGGCAAAACATGTCTCAGTCCTTGTCATCCTAAATCCCAAAAGGTATGCTAATTTTGAACTGGAAGGATGTGTAATTTTCTTTAAGTCTGTTTTCTCAGCAGAGCACAAACTTCACGCAAACGTTCGGGCACCGCTGGTCCAAGTTTTTGATATGATAATTATGTGCCTAGAAGATGGGCTCATTATAGACGGTAAAAAATTAAAACAAAACCTCTCTTTTCAACATATAGCTAAGATACAGATGTTGTTTTTTTTTCTGGCAGTGGTCAAGTTGGGGGAAAGAAAACATCCTGAGAGAATGGCCTGAAGGACAAATAAAAAACCACATTTAAACATTTCAGCACATTCTGGAAAATCTGCATGCTCTGAAGTAGTGGTATATATATATATGCTAATGTAAAATGTACAATCTTTATTCTATTTATTACTAAACTGTGTCTACATTAAGAGAACAACAAGCTTGCAGAGAACAGCTGTTTACAATTTTTGCTGTTTGTCCTTTTCAACACATCTTCTCATTAATGACTGCAACACTTACGAAAAAATGTTGCTGCAATAGATCTTAAAAAGGATTAAGGAAACAGTTTGGTAATTTTATAGAAGACTTTGACACCTGGCAAAGTCCAGAGCAAACAAATGAGCAAGGTCTGAGGAATAGATCATAAATATTAAGAAACCTGCTCAGATTGCCGCCACAGACCAAAATCTAATGGCTCAGAATGAACATTCCACAGGCACATATGTAGCCTTTTATTTGTGTCTGAATTTGATCAGTTTATCTCTCATCACCTCATGAGACATTCCACAGTCTGTCATGAAATTGAATAAAACCCACAGCTTCTTTGGGTTGTACTTGAATCTGTGTAACAAAGGACAGGAAAGTAATATGACTTTCAGTGGACTTCAGTAAATAAAACAGTATTACTCTGCATTTAAATAAAACAGTCCATTAGCTTGATATATATTTTGCTCCTGTCCTACTAAAGATGTGATAAAAAGGGTGCTGCATTGATTTGGAAAAGTTACAAACATCCACAGTCCTGGGATTCATCATTCTTTCGTCTACTTTAATTAATGTTTTGGAATACAATCATTCCAAGAAATGAATTAGTCTGAAACTCTACAAAGCCCTGGACTGACTGGGGGCTTTATAGGAAGTGATAAAATAGTTTCCTATTCTCCCCCATAGATCCACATTATATACATTTACAATATGTTAAATTAAATAAAGAAGCATATGATGTAATCCTGCAATCTGCCACGTGAAAAACATATGTGCACCATCTGTACCTGTGTGGGATGGTTGCTGATATCTGCTGTCACAAGCTACTATTAATAACCAGCTCACTAATGTGTCTCAAAGATCTCCAGCTTATTCATCTCTGTCAAACAGCTATTAGTATGACAAAGCACCCGCAAACATAATGGCTGAATGAATAGTGGTTTTGGGTGCTGTACTATGACCACATGCAGATCCCTCTACATGTATATCAAATGAATGGCTTGAATGACATAAAGAGAGCATGTCATGGACAATCAGTTGAGCCTTTTGACTTGAAGCACTTTTTTTCTCTGCCTATATTTTTATTACGAGGCACGGATTTCCTCTCACAGCTGAGAGTCCACATACTTGATCCCAACAACAGCAGTATGTCCTGCCAAAGTGCATGTTTGAAACCAGATACAGCGAATAAGTTTGAGAATGTAAATATAATGCTGTGACTACCATAGACTGAACTGAATTTTAAAAAAGGAAGTAGCTGATTGCACTAATAACTCAAAAACATCAAAAGGTATATCAATTTTTCAGGTCTATGGCTGTGTGAGAGCAGTGATGGAATGCCTGAAACGCAGGTGAGATTTATGATTGCAAATGTCTGTAATTATAAATTATAGCATCTTATGGAAAAGAACCTTGAAAAATAGCTTTGCATGGTTATCGTAGATCCACAAAAGTAGAATCCCAAATCCTTCTTTGGTCCGTTTTTCATGGGTTTTGACAGTTAGTGTCTCTGTCAGATGTGTCACTTCAGCTTTTCTCTGCCATCTTTATTTGCTGCTCCGAGTAAACATTAACCTATGTTTCATCCCTGTTTTAATACTGATAGTAGCCACGTTTAAGGTCTCAATTTAGAGCAGGACTATGGAAAGGCTAAAAAGCGAAGCTGATTGCGTGGGTTTTTTGTTTTGATTTGGCCCTGCTCACTACGTCCCAGCTCTGTTTCCATCTGATGTTCTCTCCACACCAAAAAGGCCCCCTGACTGATCACAAGGTTGATTTATCTAGTCTGGATTTTTTTGGGATTTACAAACAGCTGTGCACAAATAAAGAGATCTCCCTAAGCAACCAGACAGAGATCTTTGCAGAGCAGACTCCAACTCAGAGGCAGACAGCTGTCACCTTATCTATCCCAGGCAGAAGTCTTTGGAGGAAAAGACATAAGTCATGGATTGAGACATTTAAAGTTTCCCCATTCCTTTTAGAACTTAAGTGCTGCCTCGTGACTGAACATGATGTGCAAATGATGTTCCACTCAATGATAAATAATGGCCATTCCACTTGGAATCATGCGTTCCTAAACAAATATTTCAAAGCGTATTTTTTTCTATGAGATTTTGTAGATTCTACAAAGTATTTAGTTACCTGTCCAGTATCCATTCACGGCGATTTCATTTGTCAGGTAATGCTTTTTTCACTTTGTTCTTCCATTCTCCCTTCATCGTCTCTTGCTTATCTGTTGTCATGTGTGGCTGTTAAATGGGCAAAGTGGATTAATCCTGCTGCTTTACTGCGCCATAACAAAACGTCCTCTAAGACCGAAGGAGCCTGGATAATTACATTAGAGTGATTCTCAGGGAACTCAGTACCAACTCCTCAGCTGAGGATGAAATTGTCCGACTGAGGGAGGCAGCTCATGTGAACCTGATGGCTCCAGTGGGGAAAAGGGCCAGGTTTTCTGACATCATGGGACAATCCAAAGTCTGCTGACCAGGGATCAGTACCTTTCAGCTATAAAGGCAGTGCCCCCTGATAAACCATGCTGCCTTAAGTGGAGCTAACTGTGTGCTGATTGGAGGAAATTAACTTTAATCCTTGCAAAATGTCGATGAACTCCTGCTTTTCTTGTTAGTTTGTGTTTCACAAAAAAAACTCAGAGGAAGTGACTGGTTTACGTATCAAAATAAACATGGGTATTTTGCGAGTATTTTTCTGCTTAGCTGAATTTTTGTCTGTGTCTCAGGTCAAAGTGCACACATTCATGGATGTGTGTGTACAGAAATGTATGAATTCCCTCACTGTGCACACCTTTGATTGCTCCCATACGTTTTAACAGATTTTTTTTTTTTTAACAGTCTCATATATGTGTGTAAAAGAGACATGGAGAGTATTGTAACATCGATATCCAAAGAGATTTTTCCAGTTATGGTTCAGCCTTCTGTGTGTACTACAAGGGTGTGACCTGCCCCTCGCCCGGCTGACTCAGCCAATCGACATTTGTCATTAGGTGCAACTACTTCGGCTCTTGTCCTCCAGCAAAAAAGGAGATAGAATGCACAGACGTGCACAATAGGGGAAAGCTTTGTGTCAAAACACGAGGGGTGTGTCTCAATGACCTAAACAAGGCATAAATCATTACATTCAGAGGCAAGAGGTGGGACTGTGCTTATCAACCTTCACTCACACAGGGTGGGACACAAAACAACTGCACCCCTCTGCATGCATGTGCACGCACACACATCCATAACACACGCACTTGCATCAGAAACAGTTGTCGCCATGTGTTTGTGTGTGTGTGTGTGTGTTTCTCTCTTTCTGACATACACACTTTATAGGTATGTGTAACATCCTCTCTCCACTCCTGACAGCAGGCTCCACCCTCAGTCCTAGAGGACAGCCTGGCTGACCCAGGAGGAGGAGATTGCTGAGGAGGGGAAAGGGAGGGGGGAGCGCGGAGCTGAAATTCATTTGTGCTGGTGGTGTCGGACGCACAGCACATTGCAAAAGCACACTGAGGCAGAGCAGGACGTCAGACACACATGGATACTGAATGGATTACTTTAATAAACAGATGTGAACTACAACACAGAAAGGCTGATATAAAGGAATTACAAACATCTTGCAGAACTTCTTTGGGACACTGACCAAGAAAGAGTGACCGGGCTTTTTTTTTCTTTTTCCCCCACAGACAGATTTATTCATATCATATCAGCCAGCTGATAGCACCCTCAATGGAAAAAACATACATTGACAATAGAGCTGTGAATTTTTGTGGGTGAATTGTGGCTTCTTGTACCCCTACCGCAACAGTGAAGTGGAGAATAAGTGAGTAAAAAATCTTAATCAGTCAATATTGATATGTTTCTTCACTACTAGTGTCAAAAATCACATTTACATAATTTTATGTTTTTACTGCAACTCGTGTAAAAACATCAGAAGCTCTTGAGTAATTGTCCTTTGCTGGGTAAAAATAAGCCACGTGTCTGAAACTTGTTCACATTGTATTTGCACATATTTGTTTACTGAGTGAGCTAGTATGTATGCAAGAGACAAAAGTATGTCGCTCAAGCTCTTATTTTGCTTTAGTAGTTTCGTTCTTTTCATACATTTCTACAATCATCCTAATCAACGCTGTCATCATTAATGTCATCCTTTTCCCATTAATACTTTACGGTTTATAATTGTTTTTAATCTTATTTTTTTTAAAGGGTTTTAATATGCAATTATATTAACAGAGAAGAAAAAAAGTAAACAGCATGCCTAACTTAGGTAATAAACCCATAAGATGAAAAGGGTTTGCTCAAAATATAAATCTTCACGTTGATTGTATTTTGCATATGTTTAATATACATTAATATAAATTATCTTTAATTTTTTTTTAATGCTTCTAAAAAAAATTAACAATATATACACTAAGATATATTCTTTAAATGCATGTCTCCATTTAAAGCACTTTTAAACGTTACTTTCATAAATTCATACTTTGCAGTCTGCTGACTTGTCAAATTTAAAGGCTTTAGTTTATGGTAGATTAATGCATTAATTGCAGGTTGTATTCCAACAATCAGTCCTAATTTTGTCATTGGAAATGTTCTGTTATGACACGGGCTTTTAATGAGACATGACTGGTCTTGATTTGAAGCGTTTTATGGCAGAGCCTAACAAGGGTTGTGATCCTCTAAGTTTTTCCGTGGATTAAGAAAAGCTTAAGGGGGCTGTCAGGTTGTTAATGTGATCTGCTCCTGCATGTAATATTAATGGACTGTAATGATGACTCTCTTAATGCCTCTTTGTCTCACAGCAAAACAGAGCAGGAGAAAAGCACACACATGAGTAAGCCTGCCATGCACTGACAACAAGGTGGGTGACAGAGGCATACAATCACCTTGGGATGCTCTTGTTTTCTGTGCATGTGTGAGGTTTCTGAGTCTGTTTCTTTACAAATGCGTGTGTTCTGCCCATATTTTGAAAGGAAAGTCAAAAGTCTTTAAATGACAGAGAAGATTTGTTATTTCTGGTTGGATGAGTGTGTGTGGTGCGTCTGAGTTTGTCTCATCAAAGCACGCTGATTTATTGCCTGACTTTAGAGGAAGATTAACATGACCGAGCAGGTCATTACAAAGCGATATTTTCCTTGACATTGAAGCAATAATCACAGGATTTTCTCTCTTAAATAGTGTAGTTTTACATCGCAGCAATTTGTCAGTTTCTAAACATACAATAATAAATGATTTTCTATGAAAGAAATCCTCTCCAGCTGCCAGCGACCAAGTGCAGCAGACCGGCTTTGTTCAAAAGGTTTTGTTTTTTTACAGTCATTATTTACTCTTTCTTCCATCCAACACAATCTTAAATGCACAAAGTCACTTATCTGATTGCTGCCTCCACCAAGAAATATATTCATCATTATCTTATTGTCAGTGTCAGCTCAGGCTGGTTTCTAATCAGGGAGTCTTTTAATCATGTGGCGCTGGTCTGACCATATCAGCTGCAAAGCTCGAGGCTTGTTTTCGCTTAGGTGGCAACACAGCAGCCTGCCTTCCAGTCCGCAGGCTTATTGTCCTAAATTTTGCATCACTTGTGTGGTGCCTTGTTTTTAGGGCACAGACTTGTTTGCAGCATGCTGGTTAATGATACATGATAAGAGAAGCAGTCGGTGATCTTACGAAGGATGAAAAGTGATAAAAAGGAATTGGACCTTCTGCATAACCGGACCTTGTGAGTTCTGCCCACTGGCAAAAGCAAGGAAACAAACTCACTGTCTTATTTGTGAATACAAAACTCAAACAGAACCAAGGCACAACAAAGCTGCGATGTGGGCAAATGATGGTTTTGTAACAGTGTGCAATGAGGTGTGGTCCCTTATTATTATGATTTAATGGGTTGTTTGGGAAAGATGTGAGCGTCAGTTTGTGGTGGAGATCAGAATCTGAGTGTCACATCCTGACGGAGGGTAGGATGTTCAGAATGGAGAGCTGTGAATTGGATTTTTAACGAGTACGGCGGCATTTCTCTGCAGACTGAGATATATACAGAGTATTTGGATGTCATTGATGTGAGCCACTCAGAAGGTGAGTTTCTGCTGCGTGTGTGATTGCCAGTGGGAATCAGATTTACTGATATCTGGGGGTTCCAAACAGAGAGTGTGGTTAAATTGTATTTATCATGCAGATGACACACCGAACTACCTCGGTGGCACCACATCACTCATCTGGGACTAGGCTGTGTAAGAACCCAGTGAGCAGAATATGTATATTTTATGGGTAGCATATGCTACACACTACAAAATGCTTGTTTCATTTGCATTGTCTCAGTCAACTTGGATGCTGAATGGAGTACACCATTCTAATCCTGTTTCCAGCCTCTGAAGTCTATCAATGAGGTGATATTTTAAATCAAACAACCATTAATAAGCATATCAGAGGCAATTTAACATTAATAAGCATATCAGAAGCAGTTTCCATCTGCAAGCTTTGATCCTGTAACGGCAGAGGGTGGTTGATTAGCTGAGGAAGAGAGGAGATGAGAATGGAAAAAATAGCAGTTTGGAAAACAAAAAAGGAAGGAATAAGAAGAGAAGAAAAACATTTTTTTTTTTTTTGCATTGGGTTGCTAATGAGGATAGAGAAGTCCTCGTTGATCAGACTGGTTTAGACCTGATCAACAGTGATGGAACAAGACAGGCAGGAAAAGGACAGATCTTTGATTCTATTCAGATTACATCATTGTGTAAGACAACTTAACCTAAACAACTACTGCAAAGATAGTTTTTCTGTTATTTTGAAAACAAAATATTTTCCTATCTTCCTCATCTCAAATGCTTAACAGTTGGAGGTCTAAGTAGTCTTGTTTTCCATTTCTCTGAATTTCTCGGTGTCTGACCGGTCTGGACTGCAGGTGGGCTGGTTTTAAATCTTTTTCTCGAGCTTTTTATGCAAAACCATGATGTTAACACATGCAGAATGTAGTTAAACTAAAAGGTTTTCAGATGGTCCAGAGGGTTGTTTTCTTCTTCTTAGCATTTTACAACCTTTCCAGTCTTTTGATGTATATCACCATTCTTGAGAAATGGATTGACAAGCAATAATTCCAAATGAATATTTACTTTTATTTTACTTTTACTTTTTTAATTTAGGAATAATTTAATCTTATATACATTTATGAAAATATAATAAACATTATTACAAGCTTCTGTGTCCTCAACATAGTTGTGGACACAGACAGGATTTCTTTTCTTTTTGAAAAAGATAAGACTTATAATCATGACATAAAAGTAAGGTTTATAAATGACCTGAAATGATAATCCTTTTTCAAAATCTAAAACATGCATTTTTAACACATTTGATGCTCAACGTTGCGTTATTTTAAAGCCTTCTTATTGTAAAATGAAATATGTGACACACAAAGTGGTTTGCAAAGGCAATGGCCAAAACATGTGTTAGCAGGTACAAAGGAAGGCTGAATGATGAAAGAAGTGAGTGGCTGGTGGCTGCTATATTTTTAAAGCACTTCAACCACCTGTGTCTGTCATCCCCGAGGCACTGTAAGTTTGAGCCCTGTTTGCGGGAAAGCAGTACAAAATGAAAAAGACACGAAAATGGATGGCTGGGCACGGGTTTCCATTTGGAAAGGAAAGCATGTGGGGGCTGTGGAGGGGGCGCTTCTATCATTAATCAGACTGAAAGCTTTAAAATAAAGAGAGGAAGCAATGTAGCAGACAAACTACTAAAAGCAGTGTTTACAGTCTATCCAGCAGAGAGAGATGGGATAATTTGTTCTTTACGTTAAACTAGTCAGACAGATGGGATTGATGGGATGTGCCCAGAATACATTAAATGGCATCCGGCGCAGTCCTGCAGACATGATGTTCCGTAGCCTCAGTTTATGGAGATTTCTCCTCAGATATCAGAAACGAGCGCCAGAAGTTTGGAGCTGTGTGCGGTTCTTCTGTACAGTAGCTGAGGCCTTGTATCTGAAGATAAATCTATCAGATGTCTGGGGGCACAAGCAAGACTAATGAGGTTGGAACATTTAGAGAAAAAAATCCATGTCTTTTGAGAGTTCAGGAACAATACAGATATTTGGAATTTCTTAGAGAAACATTTAGTTTCAAAAAAGAATCCAAAAGCACAAGAAAGAAGAACAGTCCACACAAACATATTATATATAGTAATATATTATGTATGATATTGTGTTACATCATCTCATTCAAATTATATATTCAGGTATTATTGTTTTATCTGCACAGGGTTGTGAGAAAATAAAAATTCCACATCAGAAATTTGTCCCATATATAATGAGATTATTTGTAATGAAGGACCACAGCAGCTCTATTAAATACCCCCATGAATTATGCTCAAATTACAGAGTAGATCACAAGTTTCCCCAGATCCAAAAAAACACAACACCAGGAGATTTTCTCATTGAAAATATGTTTCTACCCTGTAATTAAAGAACAGTCATTTACAGGTAATATAACCAACATTGACTGGAACGACTTCAGGGTGGCTTCAAAGTTTTAGGAAAAATCTTTTAAATTTGGCACGAGATGCAGCCAAATCAAAAGCTGTCTTCATCGAAACGGGCCTGCGCATGTACTTTCACCCATTTTTCCACATCCGTGCTGGGCAGAGATGGCCAGCTGGCCGAGTCCATCATGCATTCATTTGAATACATTCCTCTGGCAAATCCATTACGTAAAGCTTGAATTTATTATCGACTGTGTTATCTAACACACCCATCAGTGAGTGCACTAGTACCCGCAAATTGGTCATTAGGTCTCAGCCTGCAAGTGACAACAGCCTCATGATGGCTTAGAAGTCACACTTGATTGCTCTTTATTATCACTATAATATCATTCCTATTTTTAGACATGGACAATTTCGAAGCAAATATTCAGTGCAGTATGTATCACAGCTTCTTGGACATGAGTGAAAAAGACACCTCTGTATGATGTCAATCAGCTTGCTAGTCTAGAACTATTAACACAGATATTTTGAGAGCTTTATTTTTCCACGTGCGTATTTTTTATTCCACAAGGCACCATTACAAATATGTTTTTTTTTTCCTTTTATGGAACATTAACTTCTGTTGTCTCTCATTCTTCTTTCATCAGCCTCAATTTTTCCTCACAGACTTTATTCTGAGTGCCGTTTATTTGACCAAGGCTGCCCCGTAAAACCCGCGACTCTATTTCTCAAATTGTCATCTCATTCCAATCAACGCTCTGTATTTCTGAGGCATTTATCTAGAGACGAGGAAAAATAAACGCGCGGCTTATTGAGATGGAGAGTGAATGTGGCGTGCGGAGGAGAAACGCAGCGCTGGGATGCATGAGAGAAAGCTGCGAGGGGAACAAAAACGAGGGAGAACAGGAATGCCGAGGGTTAAGCATGGGATGAGGGTGATTACAAGTGCAGAGGTGAATGAAGGAGATTGGTGGGATAGAGGGGAGAGCTGTCAATTAAACCTTGAGAATGTTTGAAAATGAAAATAAACCAGGCTAAAAGTGCATCAGAAAGAATGGGAAGCTTTGAGAGATGGACAAACAGACAGGCTGAAAAGTTATTAAAACTGAGGAGACCACACCAAAGCACAGCAATATTCACATGTCAGTTCCATTAAGGCTGTGTCTTTTTTTCTGTACAATTTTGGTACAATTCAGTACAATTTTATCAAGTTACTCAAGGGACTCTATTTGTAGGATTATGTGAAACTGCTTCTGATGCCCCAACAACAAAGAGAGACCCTGTGATCAAACTCAGTACCAAAACTTATTTTTACAAAAAGGCCCAAGGGTTTTGGATTCTCATCAGCACAATGAGTGAAAACACTAAGTAGAAAATTACTCAGATGACCAAAATAGGTTCAGCTGGGAGAAATTTACTGGAGATGTCAACAAAATTTAGATGCTGTGATAAAGTCGAACAAGTAAGGTGCTTGTTGCTGAGATGGAGATGAATGAGTTTTACTTATTACTGGTTTAAACACAAGAATTCTTGTCTTTCAGGAATGGAAAGCATCAGTGCGGAAACACACTGGGATGGCTTAGAGCTCTCCTCCCTGGGCTCCAGTCGAAGAAACAACTTCTCCTCCTTGTTTGTGTCGGAACTGAACTCGCTGAACACTTCTCGCATTGGGGGGTCCCTGTTAGGGCTCTTACCTGAGAATGGCTCAAGCCCTACACCCAACACCCAACCCCAGCCCAGGGTGAGGGATGTCAGTCTGGCGCGGGCTGAGATCACCGTTCTGGCGGTGGTGCTGGCTCTCACCACGCTGGGCAACGGCTTTGTGTTATGGGTGCTGCTGAGGAGAAGGAAACACAATGCGCCGATGCACCTGTTCATGGTCAACTTGTGCGTTGCGGACCTGGTGGTGGCTCTCTTTCAGGTCAGTTCAATGGTGAACGTCAACACATTTACACTAATTCGGACATTAAAATTATATCTAAGAGAGCATGGTTGCATTTTTTTCCTGTCTAATGAAGGACCTGATGCAAAACTTTGGACAAAAGGAAAAATCTAATTCACATAATTACATGTTAACTATTGCATACATCCAGTCTTACTCATACTATTTTTTGTGTGTAAAAAAAAAAGATTTCCATTGACCATCAAAGAGCTCCTGAGGTCATGACAATTCATGTTTCAGAATAGATGTCTATATCCTTTACAGACCTTTGAAGATAAGTGAGCTATGATTTTGTTCACAAAGAGCCTTATTTCCCCTCCTAACTATACAAAATTTGCTTTCTCTATGCATCAAGCTTGTCATAGTGCTTAAGGACTGGTATTTGTAGGCAATGTTGCCAGATTGATATTCTTTGACTTTTGCCATCTGATAAAGCAGCCAGATTTGAGCATCTGTCAATGCAAATTGCAACAGTGCATCAACACTCCAGAGATCTTTTTTATCCTTTGAGTTTTTTTCTAAACCTTTTAGCAGCTTTTTTAGAAAAAACTTTAGAGTTCAATTTGATGGCCGCCTTTCAAGTTCCATATCATAACACTGCTACATTTTAGAATAACTTTTAAGAAGTCTTACTGATATTTTCAATCCCAGTTTTTCCACTGTAACGTGTACAGTAAAAGGTTGAACAGTGACCTTGATTGTAAATGTTTTGACTATGAACATGAATAACATTGTCAGTTATGATTGACATTCTATGGTTAAGGGCTGTCTTTAATGTAACTGGGATCATCTGCTTTTCTTGTAGAGCGATTAAAATGGGATTGAACTGTGCTGTGCAGTGTTAAATCATAAGATGTCACATTAGAGGTAATGTCAGAAAGGGTGCTAAAAGTATTATTTGTTGGAATTGTCAAGGGTGTATAAATAAAAATGTAATGCTTATTGGTGTGTATCAGGGCCTGTTGACGTACCTTTAAGTAAGGATATGATTTAAACACGGAGGAAGAAGCTTTACTAGACATAGACAAAGACAATACTGAAAATCACCATATTGCTCATTTAACAATGTATTAACTCCAGAATATCAAATGTTATTTTGTTTTTGTCCAGGTTCTTCCTCAGCTAATATGGGACATCACGGAGAGGTTTCAGGGGCCAGACTTTCTCTGTCGGTCCATAAAGTATTTACAGATCGTGGGGATGTTTGCCTCCTCCTATATGATCGTTGCCATGACAGTCGACCGGCACCATGCCATCTGCTGCCCTTTGCAGGCCTACCGTGTTGGGGCAATGTCCCGCTGGAACACCCCAGTCATTGTGGCCTGGGGCTTGGCATTACTCCTTAGCATACCGCAGGTGAGGAGTGGTGAACACAAACAAAACCTTTCATACACAAAACAAACGCACACACACGCACGTGGCAAAATAGAATATTGGAACTCAGTGGGTGTTCACACCCTGATTTCTACAGCAGGGCTCAAGATGTTGCTCTATTATCAGCTTCATGACATCACCGGATGAGGCCGAGTTACCTTAAGCTCCGTCTGTGGGTGTGTCAATCAACAGTTTGTGTTCTGTCTTTCAGGTTTTCATATTTTCTCGCTCAGAAGTGGCTCCCGGAGTGTTTGAGTGCTGGGGTCACTTTGCAGAGCCATGGGGACTGAAGGCCTACGTCACCTGGATGACTGTGGCTGTGTTCTTGCTGCCCGCCATGATCATTACCATCTGCCAGGTAATACTGGTAGTTCTGTCTTTTTTCTCTACTGCATCCACAAAGACTGTTGACAGATGCTTTACATCTCACGGCAACATTACGTAATAATGACACATGGCATGAACGAAACGCAGAGGGCATTTGGCAGCTATTGTTCAGAAGCCCATGGGGGCACAGCAGTTGGTGTTATTCAGTATCCCTTGGACAGGCATTCTGGACTCCTTCCCATGTGTCCTGCTCTATTTATGGAAAGATATTTCCAGGGTCCAGCTATTTCCCCTAATTAACACAACACTTGGATCTTCACTACTGAGATGGCTGCCCACTCCATGGACCTTTTGCCAGGAGGAGGAATGTACCAGATCTCAGCCAAACTTAGAGTCCTTGACCTCTACTTTCAATATCACATTTCAGATAGACAAGCATATTTTGGTATTTGTTTATAAGAGAAAAATGTAGGTTGTAAAGGAGCTGTATAAAGAAATTCTAAAAGTTTAAAAATACTCTACATATTCAGTCCAGTGTATTGTGATTTTATATTGTTTAGAGTTGTACAGAAGCTGCCAGAAATAAAGTAAATTTCAAGGTGGCTTTTCTGGAACATAGCAGAATAAAATGTTTGGTAATACAGTATTATATGAAAGTGTCCCGTAATGGTTAACGGCTGAAGGTTAATTATTGAATTGGCTCATGAAAGATGTAATGTCATCACATTAAACGCCCTAAAACAATCTTGTCTTTCAGATAAGAATCTTTCGTGAGATTCACAATAACATCTACCTGAAGTCAGAGAGGATGGTGATGGCTGAGTTGAAGAAGAGTGAAATCCTATTTCGTTTCCACACCTTTAAGAAGGTTGATGAGGGGACCAGGGAGAGGGGGAGGCAGGCACCCAGAGGAGGGGGCAGGGATGGGAGAGGACAGCTTTTAAAAGCTGCGAGTAACTGCTCGCACAATAACATACCCAACGCCCAAGCTGGAGAGTGTTACGACTACACACCATCCGCTATTCAGTATAGTAACTGCCATGGGGATCACATGACAACAACAACAACAACAACAACATCACCAGGGCAGCAGCCGACACTGAATAGCTCAGATTTCCATGAGTCCTGCAATAACTCGCCCCGCTGTTCCCTTGATTTTGCCCACCCTCAGCCTCCTGCTGCTCCACCTCCCAGCATTACAAAAGCCATGTCCAAGACTGTGAGAATGACCCTGGTCATAGTGTTGGTTTATACAATTTGCTGGTCACCTTTCTTCATCGTACAACTGTGGGCAGCTTGGGACCCCAACCCTCCAGACCAAGGTCAGTCACAAACACTCTGTATTTGCGTAACATGTATGCCGTTCAACCTTGAAAACGCAAGAAGAAACAAACATCTGTGTCGCCGAAATTTCAAGTGAATCATTGATGTTGTTTTTCCAAGAGGGATTGATTCTCCTTAGCCCGTTTAATCCATTTAATTTCCTTAAATGAGCAAACCTGACCTAGTTTGCACGGCAGGCAGACAAAAGCTAAGTGATTAGGTTTGGTTTACGACAGAAACCCCTAGACAGTGTTGTCATCCATCTCGGTGAGTGAGGATCACTCATTGCCGCAAGAACAAACTCCAGCTAAGATGTGGGAACAGTGAGTGAAATAGAAGGTCAGAAAAAATGTTTATTTTGACCTACAACCAGGAACCTTTGAATCCCATCTCTCTGGCCTCTGCTCGTTTTGGCACAAAAACAGGTCTTTACTGGCAGTCACTGATGAGGCAAAGCAAGAGGGCTGGTGCTGCTTGAGGCTGTGGCTGACTGAGTCTGAGTCTAAGCGAGTGTCCCCTGATTTGAAGCTAAAGCCAAACTCTAGAGACCAATAAATAACCTGTTTATGTTCCCTGTTGATTTCGCAATATATTCAGATGTTGAAGTTTCATCTGTTCGGATCGTAGCACGAGCACATGATACAAAATCACAAGTGGAAACACAGGTCAAGACATGCAAACTCGTGGACACACAAGCGCACGTCGTGTACAACGTGTCCTCACACAAAGCAGCTAGCATGGTTATACATGAAATGACCTCCCTGGCATCCGGCTCTATGTATAAATACGCACACAGCTGATTTTGATCAGCTTTTGTTTAAAATAAAATATCTGTGATCCGCATCTCTCATTTGGACATGAAGTTGTTATAGTAAGGTAGCACGGATAGAAGTGGAACAAGTTGAGAAAAGGAGAATGCAATGTTTTGTCATCCTGGGATATTTATAGTCCTGCTGTACTTCCTGGAGGAAATAGAGTGAAAAACAATAAATAAGAATGCTTTATATCTAAACTAAATAGTTGCACATATTTATTTTTGTTCTCTGGATGGAAAAATAATGAGATGTGAACTGTAATTTGTCCTCAGTTTGTCCTCAGCTTCACTCTTCATGTGTACAAGTCATTCTTAAGAGAACGTTTTTTTTTATGCATTCCCCTCTTGTTGTCTGCATGTCCTCTATAGGAGTGGCCTTCACCATCCTGATGCTGCTGGCCAGCCTGAACTCCTGCACCAACCCGTGGATCTACACGGCCTTCTCCAGCAGCGTGTCCAGAGAACTCCAAAACCTGCTGCACTGTCGGTCAGGACTGGGCCGGCGGGGTTCCCTGCCCGATGACTCCACCACCACGCACACCTCCACCGCCAAGGACAACCTTTACTGACTCGGGCAGATGAGACGGCAGCATCCAGACTGAGGTGCGCTCGACAGTACAGGCGTGGGCTGCGCACGCACCTACTGCAAGGACACACTGCTGCACACAAATCTCCCGCCCGCCATCTGCATCATCCCAGCCCGAGAACAGCCTGACCTCCGCCAGATGTTTGCAGCGACTGAGGACAGCCGTGCTGTCAGCGGGACATCCGTCTGTAATCAGATGTCCGCTCCACCCCAGCAGTAAGGAGCTTTTGGCAGCCAGGATGTCATCACCATTCGCAGTCAAGCTCTCCAGCGCATGTCAAATGCAAAATGACCTGGAAAGTAAAGAGATTTTCACCTGAGTAGCTTTTCAGTTGGATCTTGTGCAGTGATTCGTGATTTCGGGAAAAAAAAAAGAAAAGAAAAAAGAAAAAAAACAAACCTCTGGCTTCACTCAGACATAGCAGAGCACCAGGAATGCGAAGGGTAGATTTCTGCGTTAATGGCCTCATGGCAAGCCTTAATGTACAAAGCAGCAGACAAAGTTAGAAGCGTTGAGAAAACATCAAGAGAGGACGGGACAGCTGTCGAGCTGAAAACAGACGGGGGATACCATGAATGTTACAGCTGCTGGAACAGTCATGAGAAAGCTTTCAGTGCGATCTAATAATGTGAACAACTTTATCATTTAAAAAATAATGGATTAAAAACAGATGCTTGAAAGCTGAAATCATTCTCACTTCAGTCTGAAGGAAGGCATGATTCAGGGAGGACATGGAACTCTAAGGATTATCACACAGGACGAAGGGGAGGGAGGAAAATATGGAAGACTGCAGATGAACAAACGTTTGTGGAAGCAAAACGTGCGAGATGGGAGCGTGAAAACACAAACATTGTGCGGAGGACACAGGAAGGAAACATTCCATGTGCAGTGCAAACGATGTATAATATATTTATTAAGGATGCCTGGCACATTAGATATTATGACAACCTATGTAAACGCTGAATGTAATTGTGATGGTCGGGTGTTCAGGAGAAACGGGAGACAGTCCCTCCAAAGATTTAAACAGGTCTCACGCAGGTCTTAACGGTAAGGTTGTTCCAGTGCTTAAGCAAATGGCGAGCATACTCGGAAGATAGCTTCACATTAACAGTGAAAAAATCCCAAGTCGAGACTAAGTGCCTGAGCTGTCATGATGTTGTTAGAGGGGCCTCTCAGAGGGTTAATCTTCAAATGATGTCAGCCAAGTTATTCTTCAGCAGAGCTACCATCAGCGCAGGGATCATAAGATATGTTATATCACACCATGACCCCCACCCCCCGGAAACTCATCTGTTGTTATTGAACTGAAAAGACCAGAAACACCCTCATAGATTTTTATATTTCAGCTCCTGTAACTGCCTTTCTGATACAGTTTTTACACTGTTTTCAACTATGTACAGGATTAGTTATCAGGCCACTCTGCTGCATGACACTCTTGATGTTGAGACTTTTTTCCCCCCAAGGCATTAGCTACTGTTCATGAAAACAATGTCTTTCAGATCAGAGAAGGGTTTACTGCGCCTGGTCAAACTCCTCATTTAAGATAAGATGTCCCCGAAAATAAGCGTCTTCTTTCATGCTGTCCACTCACAATCCACCAGCTCTGAACGTCAGAGAACAGTGTTATGTGAGTCTGAAGGACAATAATGGGATGCTTTCAAGGTGTCTCAGGAGTATGCGCCTGGGTCGAAGGAGCAGCCTCACCTTTTCCTCTGAGCGCCCAAAGTGTTTGGGCGTCCAGCACGCCACTGAGCATTCGCTCCCCAGACACAAGCTCCCCACTTTGATTCCCTGCCAAGCAAAAGGCCACAGCAACAACATCCCCTCTTTCACTTTGTTATACCAGGAAATAGATGAACTTCTCCTAAACCTTTGGAGTATTCATGTATTTTTCCTTTCCCCGTCAGGAAGTTGAGAGGTCAGAGGACGATTCATCTGCAGCGAAAGGGGCCAGACTTCAGATCCATCCAGCTATTCAGATTTAGAGGAGAGGCAACGGCCGCCTGACATGTGCATCATGCTCTCTGTGCAGCTAGCTGTGAGCTTTAAAAAAATGCTTGATAATGAATCCAGCAGATAACGAATTTGGTGGCACAAAGGCAGCTGAATATCCACTAAAAATAGAAGCACCATTGCAGTGCAGTGATGCTCTGTTTGACTCCGCCCTGCTTCCCAAGGGTAAAGATTTTACAGTTGCTGCTATAACTGCAACCACCATTATTCCATACTGAAACACGGTCGACGCCTAAACACAAGGTCATCTCTTCATTACGGTGGGGTAACATTTCCTGTCAGGCCCGCGGCTGCACAGAGGTATGAAAGAAACAAATGGCCCCCGCATTTTAGCTGTCAAAGATGGGAAAGTAGGGCATCTTGCATCTTTAGATCAGTTTAAGGTCAGCCAAGGAGTACAACCAGTGGCACTGAGGAATGACCGAATCCTCTGGCCCTGACCACAGTTAGTGTAAATCAGGCATGGAGCCAGGAGCCTTCGTATGATGAGCAATAGGTCTCAGACGCTTAACTCAAAATTGCTCCACGAACTTGACGATTTCTGAAGAAAGCGCTGAGCTCATTCCAAAACGCATGGAAGCAACTTTCAGAACCAGCTTCGGTTAATGTGCCGGAAACATCACTGACCCAGTCTTCATAATGTTAATTCAATTCATTTTCTGCGTCCACTCTTCTATCCTGTAAAGTGTTTAAAATCCCCTGCGGGATTTGTTCTGTATATTACAGCAAATGTCTTATTATGAACCAACACAAGCACCCACCTCATACTTTGTAGAATACAAATTTACTGATTAAAAAGAGCTTTTTATCCGAAGGCCACTTTGGGTCAAGGTTAGCTTTTATCACTCTCCACCACCTTGTTTTCATTACTTGAAGCATGGTTATTTTTACGCCTTAACATGCCCCGGCAATTTCTTTTCTTCACAGTAAAAACAGGCATGTGCACTTGGTCTGATAAAACCTATTTTATGGGAGCTCATTCAACATGCTTTCACAGGATTTACGGGCTGATAAATGGTTTGTTGTAATGCGTCTGCTCATGTTTAACCTACAGTTTTTCACGGCTGCTGCCAAGCACAGGCGTCCATGTCAGGGACATAGACATGCTCCTTGGTGACCTATCGTGAAACGAGAGGCTAAAACGAAGGAAATAGACATCAAGAGAAAATATTGGGTAGATTAGTGGATGCACGGACGGCAACAGAAGACCGAGATAATTGATGTAAAAGCAAATAGGCTTAGATCTAAGTTTATTTTCTGTATCAGCTGAAGGAGCCACACATCTAACATGCCTCACGTGCCTCGTCCATGAAACAACCAGAAATGTAACTGTTGTTTCAGAGAAGGAAGTGGAAGCAGGTGTAGAGAGAAAGACTTATTCTTGATGATTAGGTTAGCGCATGGAATAATGAGCAGGAAAAACAATGCTTTTGACGGACTGTAGACAGAAAAGTGTGACTCCATGCGAGAAACATTTGTGAGACGCCAGTTTCCACATTGCTGAACCCCACTAAGCCCACCAGCTTCCACATTGCTGAACCCCGCTAAGCCCATCAGCGTCTGCCCCCGGAGTGGGTGTTTTTTACACCTCTGTCAGAGTGGCTTTTCTCTGCCTCACGGCACACAGCCCTCTCCTTGGTTCCTTTTTATTTGTCTTATATCATTACCAAACTCAAATATGGAAACAAACAGCTCTATGTCATTTTTGTTCAAATCAGGCATCCAAACATTTAACAGTTTTGTTTAAAAATTTTAGTTAAAAGTGTGCTTTTTAATACCAAAATTTAGCAAAGAATCATCAAATCTTTACATTTTCTTTGGTATCAAAATTATCCAGAGACAGTGACAAATTGATTAATTAATTGATTATTTCAAAAGGAGCTTTACCTATGAAATATATTTATAGTGAACTGCAGTTTCTTCAAATGAAAATATTTAATGAGTGACATTTAAAAAATATGAGTATTGTAGAAATCACAACACTGAGTTAGAAAGGGGCACATTTTCCCTTGTAGTCCTCGTATTATTACATTGTAAAATGATCTGTCTCATGTAAAAATGAACAGTAGATCTTGACTTGTACCCAGTTCCTGAAAAAAACAAACACTGCTTTGCATTAAAAATCACAATTAAAACATCTATATCTTAATTTTTTGAATTATTAAACTTTTTGTGATTTGTGGCTCTTATTGAAATGAATGGGAAATCCATCCAAGTTTGACCTCTTTCAGCTCTATCTACTTCAGCATGATTTAAGATAGAAAGACCATTCTACTTTTCAACTGCTGTCACGGCATTGAGTTACAATGAAATGACTTTTCATTTCAGGTGAACTTGTCCTCTTTTGGGTACTTTAACGATCAAAGCACTTCAACTTACAGAATTTGAGTAGCGACCAGGACTTCTGGAAGTAAAGTATATATGGTCGGATCAATTTCTTTTTGAAACACAACTTTAAAGTTTATAAGTTATCCATGAAACTTTCTGCCTTCATCAACAGGTCGTTTTCTACTGGAAAATGATTTACAAGCATAACTTTAGTCCACATAACATGCCGCTGTGGAGCAACCGGGTGATTCTAAGGAGAATAAAATCAATACTAATTGAAGGTTGGATGGAAAAGCAAATTTGGGTCATTGTTCATTTCATAAATGATAAAGGAAATCTATTAACGTTTGAGCGACTTAGTCATGTATATAATATAGTTAGCTCGCCTAAGGATTACATAAATGAGGTTGATAAGATTCCAGAGACTTTTACCCAGACCCGGAGTCACCCAATTGCAAAAATTGTCGCCTGTTGTTTAGACAGCTTTTCATCCACTGCATTTAAGATCTGTGTTGTTGTGATTCCTTTGACATTTTTCATAAGATGTCTTCATCTCTGAGTTGAAATTATCCTCATCCGTCATGTTTGCTCTTATTTCAACGTCCCTGTTCAGTTCGCATTGACATTTCAGCTTTTTTTAATAACTCACCAGAAACCCAATGCCTTTCCCTCTTTTTGTGCTTCTACCTTTCAGCTTTTCATTGTCCACTGGTCCAGTCATTGGGCAGATCGCCGTTCTCACTGCTGTTTACAACAGCTCTTTCTTGTTAACTAAAACTAATTTAGTGTTTTTCAACTGTTGCTTTGCTCCATGTATATTCCTCCATTCAGGCATTCCCCTCCTAACAAAGAGAGATGGGCGTCTCCATTAGGAGGTAACTGGATTCAATCAATTTTCCCAGAATTACCATTGTGTCTCTTATTGTTCCCTTTTGTGTGTGTTCCAGAGAACATAGTCTGAAAGTGCTTGTGGTAAGGGTATTAGTGTAAATAATGACAAATTCCAAAAAAAGCAGAGATCTGATAAACATCCTGTGCTCCTCTATAACACATAGTATATGTTTGAGGAGGTCATGTTGCTTAGTGTTGTACATTTGCCTCATGAGGTGGAGAGACAGGCATGCCGAGCACTGAATGTAAATGTTGATTTGGGACACAGAAATAGACAGGCTAAGTTTAAATCTCTCCAAAAGAGAAGACCTCAGCACGAGTTTAATTTTTAGTAGCCCCCATCCCCCCATTGTAAGTTGCTCAGGGTGTGCAAATGTAAACGTATATAGAAGGCAAAGGTGAAAAACTGAGGATGTGGAAAAAAACGAGTTTGCTGTGCAAAGCGTTGCTGCCCTTTAGCAACGACCTGTTCTGAACATGCAAAATTTACATGTATTCAGTCAAGATACTCGAAAGGCAGCACTGTGTTGCCGCATTGTGCTCGTCTGGGGCCACTGCACTGCTTGACCACTTAAAAGACACACAATGTATATTTTGATGTGCGCTAAAAGAAGTTTGAGCGGGCTGGTGTGCTGCTGTTCTTTTAATGTACATCTAACCGAGGGGGACATGTTCGTGACATGTAGAGCTAAGCCACAACCTCTAAGCTTAATACGTTTATAGCAACAACTGATGCACTGCTCACAAAGCACCTGGGTTTAAAACTGATCCGATCATAAATAAGTCATGAGTCTCTATAGTAATGGAGACTTGTGTTCTTATTTGGGATGGAAAACAGAGACTGAAGATCTGAAGGACAATTTCCATTTCTCTCACTTTCATGCTGTAAATTATAAATCCCTGCGTCTGCATGTGTTCAAGGTAACTTGAGACACTGAGTTTAAGACTGATAAAAAAAATATTAAAATGTAAATCCCCTCATAGCTGACACAAGCTTCCATGGAGAGAAAGGTAGCACATTTTCCAATTAATCTTTGAGAACGAACAATTTGTAGAGGCCTGAACAAGAATTCACACTGAAATCATAACAAGCCATTTATTAATTTCCTGAAATAAACATGTCTAAGAAGGCCTGTTTAAACAAGCCAGCATAGTCACTGAATGGCGTTTAATGTGTGTGGAAGGTCTAACTCGGTCGGTGTTAAAAAAAAGTCCCACTCTGGCCAGAACACCCACACAGAAGCACAATCCAGCCTGGATGGGTCTGCATCCTTTAGGCCGGCCTGAGCCCACCACATGACAGTTTGTTTTCTTTAGTAAAAAACAAAAACACACACAAACGGAAGTCCATTAAAAAGGACATGAAACTTGTCACAAAATTAATCTGAAAATTGAGGCAGCTGATCACACGCAGACTCAGTCTGAATTTTGATTTTAAAAAAAGAAAAGAAAAAAAAAAAAGGAAAAAGACAGCTACTCTTGCCTCTCGCCACAGAGCACATTAAGTGGCAAAATCCCGCTGATTGGGCCTCAACGCTGTACGATGGGTTGGTAGTTGAGTTTCCACCAGAATTGAGTCTTTAATGATCATGTGGTCGAACAGTGTCTTTTTATCAGTTTATGCCTGGATGGTGCTCTTTGCACTGAAGGCCAAGTAGTAGAACAGGATTCCAATCAGGGCAGCTACCACCTCTGTTGAAACCCACGGGCCGTTCCACGCACCCTGAGGTAGAAAAGAGAATAAAAGAAGTTAAAAGTCGACACACAACAACATGCAGACTGTGACATTATTAGGCAAGTAGATTAACAAGATAAGAGATCCTTTTTAAATACAAATCTAATTTTACTTCTTTAGAATTGGAAAGTCAATGGATTTCTTTAGAGAAAAATAAACAAACATGATCTCCCACACAAATTCCTAAGCTAAGTGAGGGCTTTATATAATATAAACCAAAAGATTTTAGTCATTAAAAAATTAATGAGTATTCCAGTGAAAGGCCTAGAGCAGTTGATCCCTTGTTTTCTATTAGGAAGAGCTAAAAGCTTTGTCTGTAAACAATAATGCCTCTTAGGATGACACACCAGAAGGTCTATTTCACACAAATATGCAGCTGTGGCTCAGGAGGAAAGAGCAGTTGCCCACTGATTAGAGGGTCAGTGGTTCAACTCCATGTTCCTCCAGACCACATGCTGAAGACTCCTTGGGCAAGGCTCTGAACCCCAGGTTGCCTACTTGTTGCATCTAGTGTGCCCACTGGTGCAACCAGTGTGAATGGTGAATGAAACGCAGTGCAAAGCGCTTTGAGTAGTGGTGACAGTAGTCTAAAACTGCCCTCAGCTTCAGCTCTTAACGAGGTTTCGCTAAATGTAGAAGGAATGTGGCTCTTCATTAACTAAAGAGTCCTGCATGTTAGGTTTGCATTTTAATATTTGTCATCTAATGAGAGCTGTTAAGAAACTAAACTCATAGATGCTATGCTGCTAAAATACAGGACAGACATATGAGAATGCACACCATCTGTAAGTGACTCACCCTGTGGTCAATGTTGACAGAGAAGAGAGGCTGAATGGCATTTACATCTTCATTGTTTCTCTGGGCCTGAAACATGCAAGGTGAAGATGCATCACACGGATTAGAATCAATCCACTTGAATGAATAACATAAGAAAACTTTCAAGGTCCAGAAAGTTGAAACTGACAACTAAATATCAGATGCTAACCTTGCGCAGGGCGCTGTAGGACTCCTCATCGAAGAATTTCACCTGATATGTTCCCGAGCTCGCCTGTTTGTGAGGAAGACTCCAGGAGACCTGAAAGAGGAAGGAAGTTAGAGTTGTGGAGTTTATTAAATTATTAAATAAAAAATATGAATGCATGAGGGCTTCAGAAGTACTGGATGAGACACAGAAAAGGTTCTTTAGGCAGTGAAGCCATACCTGATATTTGCCAACATCCTGACCTCTGGTTACAGGGAACTGTCTTCCATTGACATCAGCATACAGAGACACACTCTGGAGGGGTGGAAGAAGTCATCAGTGATTCAAATCACTCCATAGCAGTGACCTTTGGTGACGTTTCGTGTCTGGTGTGCTGTACGGTTACCTGTGCTCCGTTGGCACAGGTCAGGCTCAGCTCAACGATGAAGACTGACTCAGAGGAGATGACGGCGTCAGACGTGGTGTAGGCCGACGGAGTGATGACCGGGTCTGTGCAGCCCTCGCCTGCCACCACAAAATACAGACCTGAGCCTAACTCAATTCTGAGACATAAAGGCGCGAACTGAACAGTATAAAAAACTATTACACGGTTAACAAAGAGTTTAAAGAGATGGGCAAGTGATATCATGCACTCTGTACTAGCTAATGCTGATTAGCATTATGGGCTAACTAAACTAGGAAATGTCTCTACTCTGGTTCTCTGCCCACCTACCCGAGCAGGCGACCACCAGCAGCGTAAGAAATGCAGCTATCCGGAGCATCATGGTGTCAAAGAGATATTTTGATATTTTCCCAAAGATTCAGCTGATGAACTGCTATGCTTCTCTCTCTGACTGAACGAAGGAAGTACACATCAGCTCACTGCTACGCCACGTCTGCGCTTGCGCTACAATGACGTTGACAGGTCGGCCGCTTAGGATTCTGGGAAAATGCAACGTAGACACGTCATCTAAAGGGAAACTGTAGTAGTGTGACCCATAGACACATATACGTATATATGTCTATGGGTATACCAGTCACTGAATGCTTCAGTAAGGGATTAATTGCACTATACTTATGTCGTTTTCTTGAAGAAAACTTGAAAACATTGCCTTAAGCAAACATAGAGCCAAGCCATGCGCGATGCTATTCCAGTAGTTCAGGATTATTTTAGTTAAAGCAAAATTGATTAAGATATTGACAGGTACATACATTGGTACAGTTCTAAGGACTATTTCAGACCCCCTCCTGTTAATACGTTGGAGAGCATAGCACTCACTTTATGTCCCAACCATGATTTATATTTATTGTTGATTAATGAAAAACAATACTAACTGTGAAAAATAATAGAACCGTATCTCATAAATGAGTGGAGCTAATACTGATATAATAGGTTAGTGCTGACATGAATACATGTCAGTTGTAGAGCTTCAAGCACTTGGATCCTTTTAAACAGAGGTATCAATATGAAAATGTGACAAAAAAAACATTTCAAGTAAGCACCTTTCACAAATGATATATATGTATGACCAGCATTGAACAGGTAATCTTTTAACTAGTTAGTACACCACATGCTTTAGGATTAAATGCTAAAAAAATAAATAAAATGTATCTTTGTACCTTGGACAATATCAGCATATTGTCCAAGGATGTTGAAGCATTTTTGTGACAAGATGGTGAAGTTCAAGTAAGAGTCTTGCATAGCAGCTCCTCTGCAGTTTGTGTTGGTATGTAAATCCTTTGCTTAAGCCATTTGTCAACCCAGCATTTACATTTTGCAGAGCCTGAAATTGCAGCACACATGTACATTTGATTGTACACATTTAATATAAATCTGAGAAATATTTATTATACATGAACGTACAAATGATTCAAACAAGTTAAAAACATTACATTTACATATCTGCTCACACAGTAGTAGGTTTGCTTTAATATTTTCATGTTACTATGTTTAGAGAGATGTCACTTGAAAAAATGTGCGTATAATGACTAAAGATCAGAGGGAAATTGGGTGTAAATCCAGAATCTTAACACCTACAGCGATACAATGTTATAAAACCATATTGAGCAGTAAAGATGTAAACAGTCATTGGAGAGATTTGTTGTCTAAAACAGGGCTGAGTGCATCAGTACGGCAAGTTTTATTACTCAAGCAAATAATACAAAACCAGTCCCAGGAGCCTTAAAAAAATGATCCATGGGTCAATGATTTCAGTTTTCCAGAAATAGATGAGCTGAAAGCTACTGTCAGAGCCATTCACACAATACCTCAATTTTCATTTGTATCATCTCACGCCATCTCTTTTTATACTGGTTCTGAAGCCAGACATCTCAGTCCAGTAATTCTGCTGTATTAAAAAGCCCAGTTCATCTTCCCTTGCGTCCTTCTCGCTTCCCCTTTTTTTGAGGAGCCTGAGCAGAAGGTGCGGAGACGGTGAAGTTAGGATCTTGCTGTGTTTGCCGCAAGAGAAGCTCTCTGAAGACCGACTCCATCTGGCGACAGACCTCCTTGAATGTGAGAAATACAGTTGCGATGAGAGAAAGAGACTGGTGTTAAAAAAAAAGAAAAGAAAAAAAGGCCAAAACATGCAAAGCAAAAAGTTGTTTTTAAAAGAAGGTAAAGACTTGGACCTTTTAATAGAGATATAGTGAGTAGGTGGAAATGTTCAAACAAGACACATCTTATTTGATCCTCTAATTTTATTCCATACCAACCTGTTAAATTGGACCCCTTCAACAACACAAATCTAATTAAAGAAATGGTAAACAAGACCAACCTTATCTACTTTAACAGCTATGTCCTCAGCAGATGAGCTTTGCTGCAATCTGTATAAAGAGAAAAAAAGAAAAAAAAAATATGTCAACATCTCTTTTTCCTTCACATGTTCTCGAGAACCAAAACCACCAAGACAAAATACAAATCAAATTGAAAAGTTTATTCTAATTAAAAATTAAATAAAACTTAACAAAAGCCATCATCATTTTTGTTCCATCTCCCTTCCTTTAAAAGAGAACACAAACAAAAAATGTAGGAAAAAACTAAAAGGATGTCATAAATATCAACATAACACGAATATCTAATCATGGATGTCAACTATGTATGCAGTTAAATCATTAAAAATATGAATATCAATTCATAGACAATTTTAAAGCAAAATTCTTCAATGAGAAAAAAAGGAGGAAAAGCAAAAGCAGAGTTTAATGCCTAAAAGTGCTTGAATACTTTCAGTATACAGCATACATTACTGTAATACTATGCTAATAATCCATTTAAACATTTCTTCAAACATATTTTCTAAGTTAATCTCAGTACAAGAAAAATCATTTCACAATGTTACTTACTCTTTGCGCACAAAAGTCGGGGAGTGAAATCTCCTCGGCTTGTTCTGTGGCCCAACCGGAATCTGAAGAGAAAACTTCCCAGCAGTGGTTAGTCCGCCTCCTGCTGGTCCAGCTGGTGTCCTGCTGGGCTCTATGGAGCCACTGCTGTTGGCTCGGGGACGTCCTGTCTTTGTCTGTGTATGTGATGTAGCTACACTAAGGTCGTTATCAGCCGAGAATCCAGTTTCCAAATCTGTGGCAAGGCACAATTTCTTTTTTTTATATCCAGCAAAAATTACATCAGCTTTGGTTTTTAAGTTGGATAAAGTAAACAAATGTACCATCTTTGGAATGAGTGGTCTCTACTTCCACCTCTCCTTCCTCAATATTGGGGTCACTGTAATGAAAAAAAAAACGTAAAAAATACTGCAGAATGCTCATACATTTATTGCAGAGCTTAAACATATTATTCAAGTTTATATGTATACACATTTGAAATCATACCAGTCATGCTGTTCAAGTGTCATACACTTCTCGTATACGGGCCCTTGTACTTCATTCTGACTGGGAAAGATACTTTCATACTGGAGGATGATGCTCTTAACCAAAGCATTGATTTGAGGCTGCAGGGTCACAACATCATCATCCTGAGCTCCTCTGACCAGGCTGGGGCCAAAACACACAGCCAGATTGTAAGGCTGCATCATGTTCTCGTCACTGTACTGAGACACACTGGAGGCAGGGACCATTGGGGGCAATGAAAGAGAGAAAGAGAAAAAAAGAACAGAGAAGCATGCATTAAAAACAATAACTAGAGACTTCCTATTTTACCCTCCAGTTCTCTCTCCATTTTAGCATCAGGCACATCACATAAAATTATGGAAGACTGCAGGAAGTCTGGGAACCGTGTGTAAAAGGCAAGCAAAGAAGCCACTGTTAGAGGCAAATGAAAGCAACATGAACCAGTATGACCACATGGGCTACAGACTGAAAGGAACACCATTTTCTCTTAAGAGCATCTTGCAGCTGTGGCCTGAAATATAATATGAAACGACATTACGTAAAGGAGGAGGCCATAAATCAACTCTGTGCAGAAACACGGCAGAGTTCTCTATACACGCCATACGTCCAAGTGAAAGGCGCAAACGCCAGCGACTCATGGTGTGGTGGGGCATAGTGCTCCGTGGCAGGAGCGGCTGCTTTGCTACTGGCTGTTGTACTCACTGATGAAGGAAAGCAAAGAGGTATCTCATAACAACAATGATGGGCTCGGGGTAGGAAAAGATAATCGTCTTAAACTGAGCTGCTCTCTCTGCTTCGTTGTTTATTTCTGAGAAACAAAAATGAGAGAGAAAAGAAACACGATTAGCTGCTGCTCCGCATGAACATCAAGTCTTTACATCCACACTTACGAGCTTGCTCCAGGAGCCGACTGGTGCTGTCAATGGGAAAGAGTGGATTCTCCAGACCTCTGAAGTACAGCTTCAGCACTCCAGCCACAGAGTCCAAATCATGGATCCCTTCAGCCAGGGGGTCTTCACCTGCAGGGGAAGCCCATGGCACACTGCCCCACATTATTAATGCTCCATAATGAGTAGAGCTATGACTACAATTTATCCAAGCAGATGGGCAGGTCTACCTCGCTCAAATGCGTCCCTCAGGTTATTGACCTCCATCTGAGATCCCGGCACCCTGAAAATCCCTTCATGGTGAAGACCTGGTGGACAGACACAGTTTTTATCTCAATCCTAATTCATCCATACTTTCAGTTGAGAACATTTGTACCAATTTTAAACTCTCTGCTTAAGCTGTACAAAAACAAACAAACAAACAACAAACCAGCATATGAGTCCTCTGCTTGTCTCTAAAATTTTCTGGACTATGCACCCAATTATATATATCGATTTAATTCATTACAGTCTGAAATATTCACCATTGAGGTTGATGTAGCGAATGCAGCTTTCCACAACAATAGGAATTTGTTGTCCCGATGCCTATGAGAAACAAAAACTGTTTGTTGGTTACTGATAAAAATGGCATAAACAGTCAAAAACTGTAGTATCAAACTTGTGTGGTCAGGATGGACGCTACCTGTATGAAGGACACCATGTCTCCATTGAAAAGTTTGTGGTTGTGTATCAAACTGGCATTCGACTGATTCCTTTTGATGCGCAAAGACTTCCCAGTATGTCTGCACAATAGGCCACAACAGAAGCACATTTTTGAGACAGAATTTTGCATTTAGTATAAGTTTTTAGTAAATTCTGATAGCATAAAGCAGTGTTGTGGTGAAATGACAGCAAAACTTGAAGAATGCTTTGGAATAATGGTCATACCTTCGCTGATGTCCATTTTCTGCTTCAGCTTGGAAAAAACAAAGATATCATAATTTGACTAAGATGTCAGATACGAAAAATACATTTAAATCTTGTGGTGGCAAAACAAAACAAGGTAGTGTAATGTAGCTCAAGAATAATACATTATGGTAGATACACTGTGTTGAAGTGGCTCTATGTATAAATAATCAGGGAAAAAAATGCTGTAATTTTTTTTTTTTTACCTTTTTCAACAGCGACTTTAAGGAGGTCATGTTTGGCTTGGAGTTTAGAAACCAGAGAACTGCCAACAAGATATTCTTTGGCCCTCTGTAAAACAAATACGTGTGTCAAAGTCATCATGCTGTTAGGCCAATGACTAAGGATAACATGCATCATAAAATTGTCAGAGGAGGTTATTTATTCAGATCAATTTGTCAAAAAAAAAAAAGAAAGAAAAATAGAAAAGCCTCACAGTGAAATATAGGTTTTCCATTTCTTGGAGGTTAGCCCTGCGGCGAGCTACACTGGGCTTGACTGTCAGATTCTCCGTGCTGCCCTCTTGGGACGGACCACAGCCACTGCCCAGTTCCAGATCATCTTCACCAATCCCCTCAAGTAGTGAAGACTGAGCTGTTGACATGTTTTTACTAGCCTGTAGGACAAAAGACAAAATGAATGTCAGGCCCTAGAGTACTGATGACTCATATATGTATATATTTTGTAATATATTTTTTCTAAGAAAATAATTACGAACACTGACTAAATATATGACAAAGATCAAGATTGTCATTCAAAGATGGATTATAATTCTTCAAGGTTTTTTCCCCCCTAAACATTGTGTCCTACAGCTTGTCGTTTATGTGAAAGGTCTACGAATGGACTTAATCTAAAATTAATATAAAACCCGAGGTATTCTTTTCCATAGAAGCGCAGACTTTAAATGAGCTCCCACCAAGCATACACTGGGCCTTGTTTCGTAAAATAAGGTATTAAAGACAAAAAAGCAGAACATTCTGCCATAACGTGTATACACAATGTCATACATAATTTGTAATACGTCGTTCATTTTACAGTTTACCTCCTCCGTTTCCTGGGTGACGGCTTTCAGTCGTGTTTGGATCTGTCTGAATCGGGTCTCCAGCTCGCACCTCATCTCACACTCTGCACTGATCTCAGAAACCTCAGGGACATTAGGAAATTATTGAGTTGTGCCGCAAAAAAAAAAAAAGGAGAAAAAAAAGCACCCTCTATTCAGCCTCTAGTCAAAACACACACCTGGTCTCCTTCGTGGGGCTGATAGGGGAAGCGAAGGGGCATGCAGAAGGTGTTGTAGTGGTCCTGCAGGAGAACGTCTCTATCTTGGCTCTGATCCAGACCCGACACGGCCTTCTGGAACTGCTGCAGACCAGTGTTCAGGTTCTGTTGGGCCTGCCACCGTCTGGACAGGTAGGCCTGCATCACCCGTCCCAAAGAGAGGTGGTACCCAATATCTGCACACTGTAAGGGGAAGGGGCATTTCACCCATCAGAGCAACTTAACAGTCATGTTTAAAGCAGAATAGATAAAGATCAGGGAGGAGAACATCTGCACTCACGTCTATGAGAGTAGAAACATCCTGCAAATAGTATTTATTTATAGAGGTATTGGCTGCAGCCAGGTTTAGGAGGTATTCGTTTCGGGCCTTGCTGCACTTCAGATATATGTCTTGGACTTTGGCTTGTCTCTATAAACATAGAATGTGTGTCAAAGAGCATTATGATTCACATATGTATGATATGAAGGCAATTCATATTAATTTACCTTTTCTATCAACCGCTCAAGTTTCTTAGCTGCACTCTGCTTCTGCTTTTCCTCCTGCTTTTCTGCTTCCTTCAGCTTCCCCTCCGCACTCACGTATTCGGAGTGATACTGGTAGTACGTACGCCATGCCTGTGCACACACACACACAAACTCTCTTCTTTATGTGCTTAAAAAGTGAAAGATGTTTTGGGTTTGCTGGATTCTTACAGTCTGGAGCTCCGTGGTAACCTTGAGTAGCCCGTCTTGTAGTTGGGTACAGATGTCTTTACTCTAGAAACACAATACAGAGACTAAATATCACAGATGCCACAGGAGGTAGGGAACGGAGTGAGCTCTAACTTGTTCAATGCCAAGCCCCTCGCACAGAAGAGAAACAAACTGTAGGAATTTGGTTTGCTGCAGGAGGGTTGACGACTGTCACAGTACCTTCTTAGCGAGGCGCTGTGTGAATTCCAGGCAGTGTGTGAGGGGCTGGATCAGAAAGTTGCTGCAACTCTCACTTAGTCCATTGTGGTCCCTACTTTCCTGACGGGTCTGGGACAGCAGAGCTACCCAGACCTGGGACACTGAGTGAGTGCTGGGCTCCTTCCTGAAAGCAGGAAGACAAAAATAAATTGGTTTGGGAATAATAAGTTGTGACTTCATATTACTTAAGCCATTTGATGCATAGTATGCATAGTATGCAAGACCGCCGTTACCTCTTAATCCTCGAAGTAAACCTCTCAGCAAGTTTTTCCATGGACCGGGCATACTCGCTTTCAATCTCACCCCGTCGACGCAGGTAATCCGTCAGATCTTGCAATTGTTGGGTCTTATGCTCGAGCTGCAAGTCCAACACCTTTAGCTGGTCTACAAGCTGGCAGCGTACCTCTGAAAAGTTAACAAGTGAGGGGGAGAGGATACGTGGTAAGGGTGAAGAAAATGTGACTCATTCTGAGAGCCATGTTGCAAAGGTGAGAATTTTTTTCTGAAATAAGAGCATATGTTGTTGACAAGTCTGGCTGGTGTCATAAGTGGTTAGACTGGTGCAAACGATCTACTTTACCTTTTATCTGTGTGTCATAGTCCACCAAACCCACTCTCTCCTTCCTGAGTTTCACATGAGAAGTCATTGTTGCTCCAACAGGGTGGAATTCTGTGCGAAGTAAATGAATACTTCTGCATCACCACAGAAAAAAAAAAAAAAAAAAGAAACAGAAAACATCAACCGCCTATCCTAAAGAAGATGCACGCGCATGCAAACGGCTGCGCTCTACTTGCTGGACAAAGTCTGCCAACGCACAATGCGAGGGGACTATGCCCTGTTGCAACATCTTTCGCTCCTCTTCACACACTTTTTCGTACCACAACCTCCATCAACCACACCAACTTCCCCCTGCCGCAGAAAGCGCTGAAAGAGGGCATGCTCATCTTACTGTAACACATCTCCTGAAACTGGTCACTCTTCTGCTTTGCCGTCCCAACCAGCCCACAACTAGAGAAGCAGTTGGCGTGTGTCGCCTGCTGCGCCCGTCAAGCTGCAGGATTGCATGGGGCGCAAAAAATAGCACTCACAACATCTCAGCCACCCTAAAAATAGCCTCAACCAGAGGGCAACTCTGTGGGGACGGTTGCTCTGAAGACAACAGGTGCTTTTGCCCACAAAGATCAAGTTTACTGATGCAGTCAAAGTACGTTCTGCATTTCCGACAACACCAAAAGCTTTTGACTTCTGAGAGCAGGGGATGCTGCTAAAATGAATAACTGAACACGCACAAGCAAATTGTACTCCATTGGAAACACTGTTGTATAAACAGACATCGAGATCCGAAAGATATTTTGTGTCAAACGAGTCTTTAATGAGCAGCAGAAAGGGGAAGAAAAGGGTGCTGAACTATAACTCTTTGTACACAATGGTCACAACATTTTTTCTTTACACCCCCCAACTTCCCTTTTTTTTCCCCTTTCCCACACAAACATCAGTCATCAGCATTCTTGTCACTTGAAATGTGCACTCTTTGCTCCTTCCGTTGAGACACTGACCAACTGACCTGCTACAGTGACTGGCACATTTCAGAGGAGAAAATCTGTTTTACTATGTACCAGCATATTTCACCCCTCATTTTTTCCTCTATGGGATCAGCAGTGAATCGCCACCTCATATCTTTACAAAAAGCAGTATTGTTCCATTCAAGCTAGATTTAACCCAATTGAAAATCTTATGTATGCTTGTTTTTCTGCTCCTTTTACGTGAGCCGTCATAGAAAAGCAGCCAGAGCTTTGAAGTGTTGAGGAACAGGCAGTAAAAACGCAAGTTAAATAACCAAGCCAGTTCTAAGCAGCATGCAATTCATAAGATAAAAAAACAAAACAAAAACTGTAATAGATACTCGAGGCTTTTCCCTCTTTACCCAGTCAAGCAGATAAAGGTTTTATACATCCAGAGGAAGGAAAAGATTACCTTATGAGGAGCTGAGTGGACTAGCCTCTTCACCAAATCAAAGCAACTAAACAACGCCGGTTACTAGAACAGTAAGCTCTAAAGTGTTTCACCTCCCCCTCACATTGAACTTGGATGGATGTGGGTGGAGTGGAACTCATCTCTCTGACTCTTTCTCTCTCACATACACACTCACTGTTCAGTCTATCTCCCTTTTTCACCCCTCATCTCACCCAAGTAGTTTGAGTATTTAGTGGGTGATTGTGCAAGTGTGACAGGCAAAAACCTTTTTGAGTCAAGTCTTTCCTCCCTTTCCGTTTCATGCGGCCTCTTGAACTCTGCAGCAGGTTTTCAGTCCAATCATACGCCAGCTGTTTTCACTGATTAGTGCCTCCTCTGTGGTTATTTGGCAGTAATAAAGTGAAATCAGCTGCTTCAGAGTTGAGGTTTGAAGAACAAACCAACAGGTTTTATGGGTTCTTGACTGAAAGGTTGAGAGTGCCTTCCTGTGCACAAAGATAACAAGATGTTTGATTTTAACAGATCCCTCGTGGTAAAAAAATTCAATCTAAAAGTCCATATGACAGTGAAAAGGCTTCTGGAAATTGTTTAATCACTCGATGCAGCTTTGTCCCAATACTGAGATAAAAGGGTGGTGTGGGGGTTGAATGTGTTAAAGCTGCTTAGAAAATTTGTGGTCAGTTGTGCTGTTATCTTCCATGCAGCTCTCTCGCACTGCTGCTTCCTTCCTCAAACTCACAGCTGGATGATGTTGCAAGCACACTTAAATTCCTCTAAACTAACATATTTTGGTCATTTTCATAAAGGCTTAATTTGGCTGTACTGCTCATTTGATCATTTGTTTTTTTTAAATCATCTTATCTGTACCTTTAAGCGCAGCAGGGAACACAGAAAATGGCCCAGTTAGCTGAATTAGCTCTGTATGCAATTGTCTAATCTGCATTCGTGGTAATGACACTTTTACTCCCAAGGGGAGGTTTGAGTGGCTCATGCCGTGCTGAATTTAAGTCACATTAGTCAGAGTATATCAACATGAAGACATAAAGAATGAGTCAGTTTAGTACATTAGATGGGCCACTCTGCACTGACTCTCAGTTGGTTTCAGTCTCTCTGAATCTTTAGTTTATCATATATTTCACTCCCTTCACATGGTTCTATGTGCAATACTGAAATCATCATTTCAAATAGGTCTTGGTCAGTCTGAATGTTTACATACCTTGTATGGGATTTCTTTTTTTTTTTCTACAAAGATCATCTCTCTAAAGTCTAAACATGGGAAATTTGTTTATGACATTGAGACACAGCAGCCTCTAATTAAAACGAATTTAGGGGGACTTTGGGGAGGAAATCCAATCTTGGAAGTTCTAATTTGATGAGTCGCAAAAAGATTTGCGTCAGCTTAATTTCTCATTGAACACAATGTTGATTTTGTACTTCACTTTATGTAAGCCACATTCAGTACACTGACCAAAGATTTAATAAATGGATTATTTGAGAGACGTGTAAAAACTAGGTGACAGAGACTCAGTTAACTGTTCATGGACAAAAACATTTAGACCAGTAATTTGTTTAATTTAGATTGTACATCAGAGTCACATCCAAGTCTCTATGTTCATCACAGCAGAAAAAAAGGCTTTTAGAAAATATGTAGTTGAAAATGTTGCCGCGCCTTGATGCACAGATAGCCAGTCAAAAACAGAGCAGAGTTTAAAAATAGAAGGAAAGGCTGTTTTAAAAGTGTCTGGAACTAAAGCGTCATTGTGAATCTGAAGAAGAATCTTTAACGTCTGTGCTTTCTGTTGCCTCGCTGACTTCGCTCAGCTCTTTGCTCTCTCCTCCGCTATCCCTCTCGCTTTCCCTCTCATGGTCGCCAGAACCTGATGGTGCCTCTTGACCTAATGCTCGCACACCTGGCTTCCTCAGCTGTAGGAGAAAAAGCAAAGGAAAATGAGAATAAGGACCTGCTCAAAAAGAGAACCATCAAAGTAGGAAATAAAACCACCTCATCAGCCATGTGGGCCAGATCTCTCTTCATTGCGTAGGCGTCCTCCCCATCTGCGTAATATTTTGGCTCTACTTCGCTAATCCTGAGAAGAAATAACATAAAACTTCAATACATTAATCTTAAATATACATTTAGTGTTTTAATAATGTACCTAATGTGAAGTTCAGATGTTCCTTTAAGCAGGAATGACCAGGTCACGCACTACATGATATCTGTCTAATTGCAAAGTTATGCCAGCATGCAGCCAGGGTATGCAACGGATAACAGCATTAATCAAAAGATATATACCCAACTGACACCCCCACAGCAGACAGCGCAACAGAAAGTGGGTGGGTGTTTTAGAGGAACTGGAAAAAAAAAAAAAAAAAAAAGTGACTGCTCCGTCAGCTGAATCTTAAGGATCTAATAGATGACTCAGGGAAGTTAGAGGCCTCAGCGTTCAACAACTCTACACCCCATCATGTGCTGTCCGGGGGTAGTACTCCGTGATGTGGAGCCGCCACAACAGTTTTGTCACAGCTGCCGTTTTCATTTCATTTTTTTTTTTTTAAGTGTGCAATATAGAGTTGCATAATTAAATAATTAATTAAAAAATGCTTTTTTTGTCCCGGCACATAGCTTTTCGTGTTTATTTCAACTGAAACAATTGTCAGTTGGCTGATACGCTTTCATCGTTTAAGAACAGAACAGTTTCCTCTTAGTTTTTTTATGTGCCGAGTTGAATGGAACGCTCCTTTGGCACAAGTGTGACACACTAATTCACATCTTATCAGCCAACATGTACCAAAGACAGACAAAAACCTAAATGTAATTCTGAAAATTCACGATCAGTGCCGATCCAAAGATATAATTACACATAAAAATATGTTATTATCCAAGTCAGACAGAAGACTTACTGGAACTTCAGTGTGTTGGAGTACAGGTGCAAAGCTGCCCGGTTGCTGCAATGTTGAGAAGAAACAAGCATGAGTCTTAAAAATGGGAGTGACAACACAATCGCAAGCAAAGGAAGAGCGTATATTCATATTATATCTAGGGGACCACACAACATTTCATCCACATGAATCAAAGCCAAAAACCAACATCAGAGCAGACAAATGACACAGCAATTACCTTTTACGAACATGAAGTGAGACATATTTAGCATTGAAATTTTCTATCATGGCACGGCTGGCCTGGTCCATCAGTTTCTGAGCCAGACCAAGACGTCTGTGGGATCGCTTCACCGCCTGCAATCCACACACACCATTAGCAGCAGGTTTCTTCGAGATGTACAGATGTAAAATACTGTGCACTGTTTCAACTTGCCAAGGATGTGATATGTCCATGAGGGACATCATCTGGGTCCTCCTCCCTAAAAAGAACAGGGAGTGGTTGCTTGATAAATGTAACAACTTCATTCAGACCAGTTCACAGGAAGTTTAATGTATCTACTCACATCTTTGCCAGCACATAACCCACAATTTTCCCATTTTCATCCTCGGCAATATATGAGAGCTAAAATAACAGACACAGACAGTGTAAGCCTTCATGACACAGGATCAGCGGAATCAGCTAAATCTGTACAAACGGAAACACTGTTTATCACCTGAGGCCAGGACAACCCGTGGTAGAAGTAGTATTTCATTTGGTAGTTTTCTGGAAGACATAGCAGGTTACAATGTTGCATGTTCATGAGGTCTTCCGGCTGAAAAAAACAAGGGTGAAAAAATATGTCATGAAGATGCATGGAACAATGCTTAACCAAGTGTTATTTGGTCAGTGAAAATGTGTTAGCTTAACAGCACAGCTAAAACAGCGTGGTTGACAAGAGGAATTCAGCCAACTTACCCGCGCGTTTCGTATATTCATTTTGTTGGTTGGCTTTTTATTAAATCTAGGAAACGAAAATTAATCAATATGCTCTCAATAAACTAACCATAATAAGTGCACAACAAGATTTAAATGTTTAATTTCGCTAGCTAGCCCAGCCGTTCTGCTAGCACGGGGAAGAGAAGCCAATGCGCATGACACAAATGCATTTCCGGCAAGAATATCCGGACGCTTCAGAATAAAAGTTACGTTTGCATTAATCGATTTTATTTTGGGGACTTTTTTGTGCATGGTTAAAGTGGTGGGAGGTTTCGGTTCAGTAACTCTTGTTAAGGAGCATGGACATAGTTTCTGAGTATTTATATATTCGTTATTTTGTTCTCTCTTTTAAACACACGTAATTTCTCTATAGTTCTTTTCTCTTAGTTCTTCTTTTCTAGTTTCAGATCCATATTTTAAAAACACACGCTATCATCATCATATCATAAAGAAAAACTAAATATCCCTTTGAACTTAGAAGTGAACAATTCAAAGACTAAAATAAGCTGAGCGTGATAGATGGGAAAACATGATAGAAATGAGTTCAAAATGGATGTTTAACTTAATCATTTTTAATCTTTTCAACTTTATCAAATATGTTTTTACGGCAAGCAACATTTGCCAAGCTCCAGGAATATTCAGCGTAATTGGCCCCAGTCCTTTAGGTAAATATCTGTCCAATCAGCAGTGTGGCATGCAAAACGAATAACAGGTGTCCTACTGGGAGGGAGAAGATACGGATATTTTTAGTTCAACACCCTGAGCACCGGGCGGCGTCGAAAACACCTGAGCGTGTTGAGAGGAACCAAACGAAAGAAAAAAAAGAAAACACCCAACGCCATTCAGACGCAGATAAGGGGTAAAAACTCTCTGTTGTCAGGAAGCAAAGGGCTTCTGAAGGGTTGTTGACTGATGAAGATACCCGATTGGCGTTCCGCTGTAACTTTTCAGAGATGCCAAAGTTGTAGTCTTTAAAATGTGATGTGGAGAGTTTTTCGGGACACGGGAGGACCAACGTGAATGACAGCGTTTAGATGGAGACTGATCTGAAGCTGGAGTCAAGTTTGTGGGTCGGTAACAAGAGATACCTTGCAGTTCTTACAGGCTGGCATTTTAAGTGGACAGAGGTAGATAAGAAGAATCGTGATAAGAAAACAGGTAAGCATACTTCTACACTATGTCAACATCATGTGATCCAACAGCGCCATAAAGCCTATAAGCTATTGATATATTTTTTTAATACTCAAAAGGAAATTATTTTTGCGTTCACTTGCTTTATATCCTCTGTTTTTTCCATCTGCACTTTACATGATGACAAGCGTCTTTCTCCACTGTGTTTAGTCTTTATGTGTAACACAACACTTCATACCAGTAGACGAACAACAATTCTTACATATAGATGGAATTATTACCGGGAGGGGACACCTCATTTAAAGCAGCTGCATGCAGGGAACGTGAAGAACGAGTTGAACAGCACCAACAGGACACATAGGAGAGAGTTTACTCAAAACACCAGCTGGAAGACACACACTGGGATTATCCTTTTCACCAAACGTCCCAGATCACTTTACTTTCAGCTTACAAGAGAAAAGCCATACTTTAAAGATTCTGTACAACAAGAGTCGTGAGTGTTCAAAACGAATGGCTCAAAATCCAGTTAAAAATTCTGATTCCTATGGTAAAGATTGAAACCCTTTCTTTCAACGTCTGCCACAGAGGGCCTTTTCTGACCTGACTGCATCTGTCCCTTCAGGTCAGAAGGGCACTGCAGCAGCATTTATTCATCAATCTTTTTATTGCATTTGTTTATTTAATTTTTGTTAGCCAATGAACCAGAACGGTTATTTGTCATGCAGCTATTGGTTTTCTATGCTCACCTCTGACTGATCACTATGTATGTCATAGGTTGTCATAGGCAAGACATTTTAGTTTTACATTGACAATAAATTGACTTAAATTTCCTGCACCATCAATTATTCAGAAAAAGAAGATGAGTTTTTATAAGCACCAAAAGGCTCTGCTGCACACATTTATGAGAAATGTCTTTCATTCAGAGGTTTCAAGCCCAACAGGTGACATTTTATCTTTGAGTCTTTACTTTGTAAGAAAGAAAAGAGGCTGTGTAGTGTTTTTATCAAACTATAGTAAAGCTGAATGTTGTAGACCTCTTTACAAATGGTGCTGAGTGTCTGGTTAATATCTAAGAGAATGTTCATCTCTCAGTTGTTATTTAAAAAAAATGCATGAAGACAAAATGTCTTCCTCAAAAGAATGGAGCAGATTTTACAACAAACTTATTGGCTGCTTTTAGGAGAAAACATCACCTGGTTAGAGTTAGTAATCCAAAGTACTCACAGAGGTTAGGTTATGACGCAAATGGGCTGAATATCACCGCTGAATGTAATTATTGGGCATCTCTGCTGAACGAAAAACCATGTAACATGCTCTATATGCAGTGGATCTGCTTTTGATGCACTTCATGAAACTCATTTGTTAATATATGCTTAAATAGAAAGTGTTCCTTTGCATGTAAAGTTTCCAATTGGTCCATGGTTGGAAAAATACTGAATTAGTCTGCTGAGATTTTCACTCTGTGCATATGGAAGTTTCAGTGCCTGTGGCTGAAGTGATTGGAGTGGAGGAGGGTCGGGTGGAGATCCTACCCCAGAAGTCTGTGGAGGACACGGATAAGGATTTCACAGGTGTGTTTACGAGTGAGGCTGAGCTGCCACCACTCTCAGGGAAAATAGGTCAAAAATATTTGACCAGAATTATGTCATGTCTTATTTTACCAAATTAGTTCTTTCTGTTTTTTTTCACAATGTGGGTTTATGAGAGGTTTAAAAAAATAACAATTTCTAAACATATTTACAGTTTTCTATGTGAAGCGTAGCAGTAGCGGGGGCTCCTACGGGTTGCTATGGAGACTGGGCCGGACCCAGTTCAGCTGCCCCAGTCGGGTGCTCAGAGACCAGTGGATTGCACATCTCAGGACAGCTGTCAAAACTCACAGTAGGCACAAATATTTGGAATGGACTGAGCTATTTTACAGTTCTTCCAGGACAACTTTAGAAAATAAGGTCAGCTGCTTATGAGAGTTCCCACTTATCCAGTTGTATTCAAAATTTGCCTTTCAGGTCCTTTGCGGCCTCATAAACTGCTGGTGTTCATCAACCCATTTGGGGGAAAGAAGAATGGAAGACAGATCTACCATTCTCTGGCTGCTCCTCTCTTTGAGCTGGCTGATATCAGCTCACATGTGATAGGTACACTCCCACTTAGCAGTGTGTCATAATCCTATTTTGTGAAAAGGCTAATTTGTTATTGATGAAATGACTAATGCTAAAAAAATGCAAATCATTTTTAGACTGACCTGCTTGACTCTTAAACCAGTTTTCAGCATGGAACTAATAATAAAAACTGTCCTTTAGTGACTGAGAGGGCGAATCAGGCCAGAGACCACATCCTGAAGAAAGACCTGACAGGCTTTGATGGGTAAGCCCTGGCTCCACTGTCTGGTAAAAACTGTGGTAAGAGAGCCTTGCCACAGCAACGCCTTCCGGGAGGTGATTTTTTTTTGCATAACAGAGACCCTTCTGTTTGTTTTAACAGTGTGGTCTGTGTGGGTGGGGACGGCATGTTCAGTGAAATACTCCATGGTGTTATTGGGCGGACGCAGCAAGAGGCAGGCCTTTGTGAGCACGATCCCGATGTCACCTTGCAGCCGTGTCCTCTCCACATTGGCATCATCCCTGCAGGTTACTGCGGTCGGCTCTTCATTTACTCCTGTCATTCAGTTTCAAGCCGGGACGCTTAGTTTTGATGTCATGAATTCTTTGTAGGTTCTACCGACTGCGTGTGCCACGCCACAGTGGGAGTGATTGACCCCGTAACTTCAGCTTTGCACATTATTATCGGTGAGATGGGATTTTTCCTCTGTGTAATCGCTATTTTATTGACTTTTGGCTTTGCATATATAAACCCCTCTGATTTGCCAAAACACCTTGCAGGAGACTCTCAGCCTCTGGATGTGTGTTCTGTCCACCATGCCTCTGCTCTGCTGCGCTACTCGGTCTCTCTGGTGGGCTATGGCTTCTACGGAGATGTACTGGCCGAGAGTGAAAAACACCGCTGGATGGGACCACTTAGATATGACTATTCAGGTCTAGATTCATGATTGATATTCAGAACAGGAATGAATACATGCTGTTTTCTTTTTTAAACTGTGAAAGCAGCTAACGTAAATTCTGTCCTTTGTTCAGGCACAATGGTGTTCCTCAGCAACAGAAGCTACACGGGCAGAGTTCAGTATCTGCCGGCAGACCCTCTGTTTTCCAGCCCCAGAGATAAAACGCGCTGCCTCTCGGGGTAAAACTGCTACTTCTGACAAATAATGACATCAGTATTTACATGCAATCAATCCAAATGAGAGGCCCAGCTAATAATGAGCGCAAAAGAATGAGAGTAGATAAGAAATACAGAGAGGAGTAGACTGAGCATGCATGCCTGATAATGTTTTAACACCATAAAACTCTCAAATGGTGTGGGAGTGTTCTCTGTTGAGTTGACAACTTCTCTATTTTCACATGGCCACTTCCCAAGCACCCACTATTTTCATGTGAATAACATTTCTTCTCTATGTTTTCTCTATTTGCTTTCACTTGGATGTGAAATTGATTTCCCATACAACTAATACCACATGAATAGTAAAAAAGGGAAGAATCAAACAAGGTCGTTGCCAACAAAAGGCTTTTGTATTTTTCATAACCATGTCACTCTCAGCCGTTGTGTATCCTAATCTAAGTTATCTGAGAAAGCGGATGATTATTTTTGTGTAAGCTTAAACCCCTTTCATTAGATGGAGGGATAGTATTGATGTGGGTTCTGTCATTATTATACAGGAATCAGGGAAATGGTTCCAATCGACAGTTAGAGACGGTGTAACTGCTACCACCTGCAGAGGGGCTCGGGTGTTGGGTTTATCTTATGTAGGCTAGGAAGCCTGACACAAGGAACTTGATCAGATGAAAGTTGAGCTTCAGCCTGCTGTTTAAGTGTCTGCCGCATTCTTTGTCTGAGGCGTCTGTTTCTGGCTGTTGGCATATAGTTTACAATGCTCTTATGAATGAGTGACAAAGGGGAGGGCCTTTTCATTTCACAGACTTCAAGTAATGAACATGGGTTCTTTTTTTCTGTGTTTAGATGTGGTGTGTGTTCCAGAAGCACAGAAAGACTTTTCCCCAATTCTTCGGATTCGGGCTCCCTCTACAGCTCGTACTCCGGCCAGATCAGTACCGACTCAGACGGTAAAACTGTTTGTTACCTTTAAACCGAAATAATGAATACTTTAAAGCAGCTTTTGGGGTTATGACAACTCAAATTGTTGCACTCTCATTCTGATTTCTGTATGTTGATACGAAGAAAAAGATGAACTCTGAGAAGGCAGAATGCAAAAATGGGTGGTTGCAATAACTATGAGCTAATCCTTTACATAGATTATTAAATTTGTATTATTGCTCTCTCATATTAATAGAAAAATGACTGCGCATCAAAGAGCAATGTAGGACTTTTAATAATTGATTTGAGAATTATGGTCTGCAGGTTTTTGTTTTTAAAACTTTTGCTGTCCTCTCACTCTATCTTTGTCTTTTCAGGTGAGTGGGTGAGTGTTGAAGGCAGATTCAAGTGTGTGTCTCTCACTTGTATGTCCAGCTCGTGCACCAGAAGTCCTCTAGGCCTCTCTCCCTCTGCCCACCTGGCTGATGGAACAGGGGACCTCATCCTTGTATGGGACACCAACCCTTTGGGTTTCCTAAAGTTTCTCCACAGGCACACCAGTGCACAGGACCAGGTATGGGATTTAAAATCAAACATTTTTTGTTCACATGAAGTTAATTAAAATGTTTTTTCTTGAAGGAATGTGTCTGATCTTCAGGGTCTCTTCTTTTCCCAGTTTGACCTGCCGTTTGTGCAGGTCCACCGTGTGAAGGCAGTCCGTTTCTCTCTGGTAGAGGACGGAGAGGAACAAGTACATGAGGAGTCTGCATATGAAGAAGAGAGAGGATATGCGGAGAGTGGAGGCAGAAATGGATCCCAGCAACACTTAGCACAGAGATCTACGGGACAAGTGATAACAAAGGAGGAGAAAACAACAACCCCCCTAATATGTGGTCTGTGCTGCAAAAAAGCTCCCGATGTGTCAGTGTGGAACTGTGATGGAGAAATTCTGTCTGTCACCGATATCCTCTGCAAGTAAGAGAGCACACACCCCATAGCCTCGGTCTCTCATGAGGTCAAGTTAAACACTCATGACTACTCATGTAATTTGTATTTGTCACCAGTGTTTTTTAAATTTTTTTAACTGTGCTCACCTTTCCCCAGGATTCATGGTCAATTGGTACGACTGTATGCCAGGGGGATTGAGGATGGAGCTGTGATACACAACTGCATCCAGCAGGGGAAGGATTGTAAAAGGACATGCACACTAGAGAGATAGTTTGATCTTTTGAATGGTGGAAAAACAAGAAAATAATAAAGTAACTGACATTTTTGCAGACTGTCGATGCCAAACGGTTCAGGTATTTCAGTTACTTTAATGCTTTCTCAATGTAATCAAGGGAAAAAAGTATTTATTCTTATTGGTGTTTATTTGTGTTTGTTTGATAAATCTTAATTCTACACTTTATAAAGCAGGTTTTTCTGCACAAATCTTATGTGACCTGTTACTGTATGCTTGTATGTGTGTTGTGATTTTTTGCCTGTAGTGTTTTCCGCCCTCCAACCTGAGACTCAAGAGAATAAAGTTATAAAAAAGTATTACAGAAGATCAACTAGCAAATTATATATATTTAAAAGACTTGTGACTTTTAAATTTTAAAAGCCTTTATTATTTTATTTTTTTTGCAGAGTACCTAATACTCTGTTGCATCTTTAAAACAAAGGCAAAAAAGGCAGCTGCTTCCTTCTTTTACTTCTTAAAATCAACCATAACATCAACGTTCTTTTTTTACTTGATTATTAATTGGTAGAATTTAAATAGCTCATCTTCAGCTTTTTTTAGTGTCTTTTCAGTTCCTCATGCATATGATTTATGATGTATTTCCTGACATATTGCACAAATATATGTATAAGCGTCCCACAAGATGTTTGAACAGATGTTCCTCCTTGCTTTTTCTCTCACAGCTCTCTGAGATAGGACACAGCTGTTCAATGCTGTTATTGGTCACTGTGTGCAAAATTGTGTGGGTGTGATTCCAGATAGGAAATGCCCCTGCAACAGACAAAAAAAGATACAATATTAATCTATGACAAGCAGCTGATAGACATACCCAAACAGGTAACAAACATGTCACATTTAAATTTCCCTGTGCACTGATAGGGTTTAACATGCTGTTAACAGTTATTTGTAGTTTTGATTGAGCTTAAATTCCAAACCTGGAAGTTGTCCTCACCTGGAGCAGGACTTTATAATGGCTCACCTTTCTGATTGTTATTGGAGGAGGCACCTCTCTTGCAAACCAGTCCAACAAGTCCTCCTGGTATATGTAGGGGTTGGCCTGGCTTTATGTGAATCATGTTTTGCATTCCTAAAGTGGTGTGGTAACTGAAAACATGGGTCTGCTGACAGCAGAGAACAAGCTTTTATTCCTTTCACGTGACCCTAAATAAAAAATCTCGTATTCATATCCCTACATCCATTAACCATTGTTGCAGTTCCAAATTGTTCACACCCATTTTATTGATGTTATATTAGAGTGGAGATTGAATGGTGATTCGTGAAGAAATCTCAGATTGGGTTACTTTTTTTTTCTTAGTTAATTTTGTTATGATCAGGTGGAACCATCAGTCCCTTCTTTTGTACATGCAGACATGATCAACAGGTACAACAGTCACCAAAGTAAACTTTTATTTTTTGTAAACTTTCATACAGTAATTTTCCTGAGAGTATGTGATCATGTGGCATGAAGCATCAGTTAGTGTGGGGCTGCACCCACTTGTATGTGCCCTTATAGCGGAATCCCACCCTCTTCACGAGCTCATCTGCTTCATTTGGGCCACGACTAGATAAACAACAAAGGCAAGACAAAGAGGCTTAGTGATCAACATAAGGTGTATTACGCATGCTCTGCTAACTTTTGGCCACATAAGACATATTTTACCTTCCATATTTGTAAGGAATTGGACGTTTCTTCTCTGATTCTATTTGGTGGAGGACAGGAGTGAAGATCCTCCAGGCTTCCCGCAATTCATCACTGGGAGGGAAATGTGAGGAGCCTTGGTGAATATATGGCTCAAAAGCAAACCATTTATGATCTTTGTGAAAACGATCATTCATTTAAAAAAATCCCTGTGAATGTACTTCACATTCTAGTCTTTCTTAAATAATCATTTAAAAAGTTTTGTGCTTTTTCTTTCTGTAAATCCTTTTACCAACCTGCGGACAAAGTGCATCTGATTTCCACAGAAGACGTCTAATAACAGCCTCTCATATGCATCTGGGAGCTTCAGGTTCTACAAAAACAATTGAAATGTTAAAATGAAAGGAAAAAAAGTATGTTTGGTTTCGCCGTAGTTTGCATCTTAAGACTGATGGTTAAATCATGATGATCCATTTGAATTGTTTAAGCACCTTGTATCTGCTCTTGTAAGTGAGGTCCAGCTCAGTCTCCTCAGGGCTGAAGTAAACCCCAGGCCTCTTGGTCATCATCTTCAGATAAATGGCTTCATCTGGCTGCACACGCACAACTAGCTCATTCCTCTGACAGCGTGCGCCAAAGATGTCTCCTGGCACGTCTGTGAACTGCAGACGGACTTCTGCTTTCCGCTCATTTAGGGCTTTGCCACAACGGAGAATGAAAGGGACGCCTGTAGAATAGTGCAGTGGCAGTTCAAAACTGGATCGGTGGTTAGAACAGGGACTTCTCATGAGATTTAAACCGAAAAAGAAAGCTGGAGCTCAGCCTCACCATCCCATCTTTCATTTTGGACATAAAGCACTGTCGTGGCAAAAGTTGGAGTGCAAGAGCCTTTTGGTACGGTGGGATCATCAAGGTAACCCAGCTTTGATTGGCCCTCCCCTTCAGGATCACCAACATACTGCCCAAGCACCATATCCGACATGACAGCAGGAGCTATGCACTTTAACACCTTCACCTGTGGTTCACCAAAACAAGAAAAACAGGAAGAATGCATTTCTGTGACACAATGAACTAAAGATGGCATAAAAAATCAAATTATTGATGTTACCTTCTCATCCCTCACGTCGTCTGGACTGGTTGAAGCAGGTTTCTCCATTGCAACCAAACAGAGCATCTGCAGCAGATGGTTCTGCATGACATCTCTACATTTTGGGGAAAGGAATGGAATAAAGACAAGTGTCTTTAACTGTGACACAATGAGTGCACAGTACAGTCCTCACCTAATGATTCCAAAGTCATCAAAGTATCCTCCTCGGCCCTCAGTGCCAAACGGCTCTTTGAAGGTGAGGGTCACGCAGGCTACGCTGGTCCTGTTCCACGTAGGTCCAAAAATGCGATTACCAAACCTGGAAGTGAGTGAGCAAATTATTTCTTTAACAGAGAAAAGCATATCTCAAGGGTAACAAACTCTCCTGACATCAAGCAGTTAAAACAAACCTTTAAGCTTATACCTGTGAGGCAGACAGTTACCTTAACACCATGAGGTTTTGGACCATTTCCTTCCCCAGGTAGTGGTCAATGCGATATATTTGGTCTTCTTTGAAAAGTGAAGACAGGTGGGCTGACAGCTCCCATGAGCTCTGGAGATCACGGCCAAACGGTTTCTCGAAAATGACTCTGTTCCAGCCTCTGCAGCACACAAACCTGATTACAATGCCGTCAAACCGAAAGCGCTCCATCATTTTTCAGGACTCGATCGATTCTAACTTGCTACTCATGCAGTGGTTCCTGATGTTTGCGCTGACATGCTGGTAAACTGTGGGTGGCAGGGCCAGGTAGAACAGTCGGTTGGTGTTCCCTCCCCCAGGCAGAGATGACAGAAAGCTGTTGAGTTGGTCAAAGGAGCTGACGTCGTCATATCGGCCACTAACGTAAGAGTTCTTACTGAAGAACGCTGATAGACCCTCTCTGTCCGCATCAGTCACCTTCAGGAAAAGTGTCACAGTTGTTTGTGAGAAAGCTCTGAACTAGAAAGCCAACAAGCTTCCCTAAATGTGCTACCTTCATATGAGGCAGACATGCAGCCTTAATGTCCTCCACAGTCAGACTAGACCGGGCAAAGCCCACAATGTGTGTATCATTGGGGAGCAAGCCATCTCTGAACAACCACCTAAACAAAGAGCAGAATAAAAGCAGAAAAGTAGATCTACCGGCCAAAGGTCAAAATTCAAAACACTTTGAAGCTCTGTTGGTGTGTTTGGTCAATTTGTCACTCACCATAAAGTTGGATAGATCTTCTTTTTAGCAAGGTCCCCCTGTGACCATAGTATGACAAAATCAGAACTAATCAAGATCCTGTGCTGCTGATAGTCTGACTGTACAGAATCACATGTCCAAAGGTGAACTCTAAATAAGCAACCACAGTAACGGGGAGTGAGCACATCTGTTGAGCAATATGTAAAAAGCCTCTGTGAACACACTGCCTTTGCACAAATAACATTAAAATAAAACTGTTATTTTAAACCATTTAGTCGTTTCATTTGGTTGTAGACTCCAGAACTATCACTTATCATTGAACTTTGACATGGGAAAAAGTAGATATTGCACATTTCTTTGCTTTGAACTTGCCATCATTCCATGACCTATCACTCTGATTATCACACTCCTCATCACTGAGGCTTTTTTGTTTAGGATACAACTAAAACTATCTGGAAAAACTATTTAGTATAAAGAGATGGACTTAAAATAACTGATTACAGTAATCACTGACTTAAAAATGGAGGAGGTAATGTTGTCATGTTGCAGGAAGTTTTAAAGTTGTACTCACAGACGCTCCCAGGATGATGAATATGTGTGTGTTAGAATTACTGGACGGCTCATCTCCATAAAGTTCTTTCCTGAGCTGTCCGAATACATCAGAACGAGCCAGAGCTTCAGAGTTCATTGTCTGTCCGGCTTGCTCTCAGCCTGCCCCTGCACTGACCTTCGATATATCTGTGCTAGCACAGAACACTTTGCATGGAAATTTCATTTGTCATAGTTGCTTTGCAGAAAAATCTGTGACTCTGTGCTGCCACCTATTGCTGCAAGGAAAAACCATGCTTCAAGCAACCTTTAACACATACTGATGAGGCTGGGCGACCTAAACTCTCCGCACCCTTTGACTCTGACGTGGTGTGCATAGTGATCAAATCAGCTCAGCTCGTCCGGGAAGGTTTTGTAGTCCAGTACATTCCCCATAACTTACATTTCAGGTCTGCTCGGACAAGGCTTGAAACAGTTGTCAGGAATGTGCCGTGTTCTAAACCACTCCTTGGATAAATGTTGTGCAAACACAGTGGGGCCTTTGACAAAGAAACTCTCTACACTTTGTTGCAGGAAGACTTGTTATCAGTATATAACCTCCGGCTGGGCAGTTAAACAGATTTTAAAATGCGGAATAAAGGGCATTATGTAGCATTTTCAGACTGGCAACAAAACATAGCTGTGTTATACTGCTACAAATGAATACCTGAACTATAAATAGCCAAAGTCAAATAATTGATTAGATCTGTAACCATTATCTAGCCATGACACAGAATGAATGTTTTAGTTTTGTATGAATGTATTAAGAGGACATCAAATAAATATTTCCATTCCAATTTTCAGTAAAAAAACAAACATTTTTATTTAAAAAAACAGACCTCTTTTTACTTTTGACTCAGACTTAAAATTTGAACATCCAATCAGACAAATAAAAATAGCCCATCATAGCAATCATTCCAGTTCGAGTCTAAAACAAGTGCTCACTGCCAGTTCACAATTACAGAGTCATACATTTCATATCCACAACCACTAACAAATGTCTTTCCTGAGATGTCATAATAAATTAAATCTAAAAACAGTTAAGACCAACCCAACCCCGAAAGTTTTCCACAAATCCGATTGTCTTTACGTTGTCCTCCATCTTTCAGTGGTTATCCGTTTGGCCAGACACCCAGTGTTGTGCAGCAGGCCCCACTGGATCAGAGTAGATTTGGCCTCAAGGTGCAGATTTAGAGAACGATGGACACAAGGTGACCGACGGGTCACCTGATGGGAAGTCCAGAAGGTCAGCTGAAGGTCCAGTGCTGGTAGAGATCTGCAGCATTACAGTGGTCCATCTGAATCACACTCCCTTTGAGCTGTAAACATTTCCCACTGCTAGGGTTTTTCAGAAGATTCTCCTGGAGAAAAACAGAAAATATCATTTAAACCAGAGCTCAAATCGGACAAAGACGGTCTCTATAAAGCCTTTGAAAACGTACAAAACACAATACTTCATTTGTCATCAGGATGAGAAGTAAAATTATTCCTGTTCACCTTTGTACCAAGAGCTTGATGACGAGATCATGACTTTAAATGCAGGTGAATAGAGAAATTGACCTTTTGAGACAACCTTCACACTTTAAAGTAACACTTTAAATTGAATTGTTCGTTTTGCATTGTGGGAACCATTTACACAGTGAAAGCATTTTATATAGGTGAACTTGCATGATGAGAATTAACATATGTAACGTTTAACTTTTTTTTTTTTCAACAATTCAAAGTTTAAGTCTGGATAGATGTGCTCTGAGGCCTAAAAAAATAAGTTAGCCTTTCAGACATCTAGCAAGTTTTTTAGCCGATATACAGTATATTTTAGCCAATATGTGTGTGAAGCCTCAAGTAGTCCTTACCTCTGTAAAGACCCACTCCTGTTCTGGTGCCAAACTGGTACCCTTCCCCTTTAGCTGGCACAGCTCAATCTTCACTGCATCAGGCTGGTTTGTGGCATGAAGACACAATTCTTTTCCAATATTATGACGCAGCTCCTTATGAGATGAATACTCAAAGTACTAAAAAGAAACATACAAACTGTTAAATCTCTTTACTTCTTCATCTTTCATGCTTCATTTCAAACTGAGCTTTTGTTGTACTTTGTTGTACCTGGTTGCCTCCCATATTGTGGCACATGTACATGATCACAGGTTTACCACCCTGGTTGTTCTCTCCAACATCCAGGCATGAGTTAGAGCCTGTGTTTTTTATCTGGGACAAACAAGGGTTAGAGATAAGAGTAAAATAACAACCCCAGTTACACATTACATGCAGTGTATTTTATTGTCGCTATCCACAAAACCTGACTCACTGCTCCATATTTCTCTGGAGTTAAATCCGGAACGAAGACCTCTGGGTAGACCGTCTGAAGATACCAGGTGAAGTTCTTGCAGTGAAGTCTCTCTCTCAAATTTAGGCGTGCAGAGATGTCTCCGTACTTATTCTTTAACCAAGAGAGGGATGAAGTTAATTATCTGACAAACCAAAACGACAACTTGGGAGGCTCCCATCAGCTATTTGAAGCAATGGGGCGGAAATGTTTGTCACAATCTGACAATGTGGTTTGTAAATTGCACCACAGCCGTTCAGTATTGGAGAACATACCTCGCTGGCCATTACTGCAGCATTCTTGTTGCGGCGATAGTAAATCTTCTTATAGTCGTCCATCCAGACTTCAGCTAGGCGCACCTGGTTGCGGGTGATGACTTCAGTTCCCTTGGGGAAGGTATGTGGGCTTTTGGTTCGGAAGACATGGCCCACCACGGAGCAAGGAATGATCTCTAACTGACCCCCACACTGCCAAACCTTTTAATCCCAAATGAGAGAGAGAGAGAGGAATCATTAACACTGACTAAAGCAGAAGAAGACTGATCGAATATGTAAACTACAAGTTCAGAGATTAAAAAGAAAAGACTGACCCTGAATGACATTTCCACATTTTCCCCACCCCAGATCTCCATCTTGTCATCGTATGTTCCAATGTGCTCAAAGTACTCCTTTGATATTGAGAAGAGGCCTCCAGCAAAAGTAGGTGTTCTGAAATTTTCATGGGCACACAACAAATATTGACGTATTTAAATGACTCTGAATGTTCTGAGTGAGAACACAACAGCACTTGTCTTACTTTACAGGGTAGGTTTCATCCTTGCGCAGCCGCCTGGCCTCCTCTGGGATGGCCTCCCAGCCAAAAGTCAAACCCCAGTCGAAGTTACCTCGATTGTAAGCGCGGTTAGTGGCCACAGGCTTGTTGAACTGAAAGCTGTTTAGGTCAATGGTGGTGATTTCTGGGCTAACAACAGCTGTGGGTTCCTCAACAATGCGGGCCAGGAGGGGTTCCAGCCAACCATGAAAACACTCACCTAAACAGCAAAAAAAGTGCTGATGTGACAATTGCATAAAACACTCATAAAATAGTATTTTTGCTTCCCTAACAGAATAAAATACTCCTCTTAACTTAACCACCATAAGTATTAAGTCTCCAAATACATTTCAAGCATAAAATTGTCTTCTATCATTCATTTTAACTATGGATTAGTAGACTTTTTCCAATTGGAAAAATAACTGAATGAATAATTAGTCACAAACAAGTAAACAATGATTGGATGTTTGCATAAGCAGGCACGATACAGCTATCATGGTCCTAAAAGCGAGCAACACGCAGCTGCATCTACGCCCTGTTTTCACATTCAAATTTTATGCCTGTGGTCATAACTTTATAGTATGACAGTGAATGTTTAGTGTGTGGGTTTCCTCACAGTGTGCATCGAGGAAGGTGAGGACGTCAGCCTGAGCAATGCTGGCCCCGAGCAGCCTGGCCGTTATCAGACCCTTTCTCTCCGGCTGCCTGACCACACGCACAATCCTCAGCTGCTGCACAAACACCTCCAGCTGATTCTTAAGGTGTTCTATAGAAATAAAACAAAACAAACACATGCTTTTATATCACCTGACCACAACACCTTCAAGCACAAATGAAGAAAAAGTCAAACGTTCATCGCATTTGTCTCAATGATACATGTGCCAGAAGTGGTAATGAAGTGGAAACACTGCCATCAAAAATAGGTCACACTTCCCCTTTAAGAGCTTTTTTCACCACTGTGAACGAGACATGCTGCATTTCTGCTCAGTTTCAGTCTGAGTGATCCACCAACCACATGTGAAAGACGGTTCAACAGAAAGTTGTTAATTTGGCAGAAAAAGGAGAAGGTGGGTGCATTAGGAAACATACACACAACAGAAAACAGAAAAAACCCAACAGGCTATTTCAGGCTAAGGAAAAAAGGCCAATAAAAGTGTTAATAAATGCCAGACCTTAAAAGTCTCTGATTGTAAATGAAGCAGGGTGCGTGGTTACCCTCGTAAAAATGAAACCCTTCTTCCTCTGATTTCATTTTTTAAGCCAGTATAAAAACATTGCTTCATGCACTAAAAACCTTATTGATTTAAAAAACAATACAAATAAACTCTATTTTAAAAATTGTATCGTAAAATTGAAGCAGGCAACTCCTTTACAAGGTTGATTTAAGGCATAGAACAAAGTTTCCAGCTATCAATGTATTTCAGTGGTTAAATACATTTTTAGACAATACATCAGTTGTGAGAGAAAAAGCAACCCTCATGTTTTTTGTACCACCTCTTGCAATAAAACAAAACAAAGAAACCCCACAAAAAACAAAGGCCAACTGTTGAAACCTTGAAGGGAGATGAAACATTTACATATGGAGATTAAAATCAGATATGTGCTACTTCCTCCACACTGTAAAGCTGGGTTTTGTGGCTTGAAGAGCAAGAACTCTCTGAATACCCCTCTTGCTAACAATCACCTCATAGAAGCTTCACCTTCCTGGTACTCAACAGGTTAGCAGAGTGCCAAAGTTGGCCCTCACTCACTGCCTGATTCAGTACAGGAACATGGAAGAATAAAAAAAAGAAAAGAAAAAAAGCATGAGAACAGAAGTGCGTGGGGTCATTGTTTGCACCTGCAGTGCTGGCATCGTCTACCAAGATGATTTCCTTGAGCAGGATGGCGGGAGATGTATGCAGGACGCTGTAGACCGTCCTGAGGAGCGTGGACCAGGCCTCATTGTGGAAGACTATGATGACGCTGGTGGTAGGCAGCGGAGGGCAGCGGAGATATTTTCTGTCCACGCACCTGGGTCAGGTTAGACAGGTCAAAGTCAAACACAGAAAAGAGGTGTGTTTGCGCGAGTGTGGACGGGTGCCACGTATCTGATGAAACGAAAGTCACAGCAGGTCTCACAGAAGGTATGCGGGAATTCAAAGTCGGTGACACTTTGCAATTAAAAGCTGCTCACTTCAAAAGCAAACTCAGAAATCTTGCGATGAAATATTTGTAGGCTTGCAGTATCAGGTTGTTGGCATATCATGTTGAGCAATACATCCCACAGTGAATGGGAGTATTCTTAATCATCCATGACAGAGCTTGCCAGGAAGTTCGCTTATTTAGTTGTTATCGTTACACGCTGTTAATTTTTGCATCAAAGGAAAATAGCGGGTAAATTATTAATCTTACTGGGTATGACCACAGCAGAGATACAGAGTGCTATCTGCTTTACCCATGGGTTGGCCAAAACAGTGAGACTACAACAGATTTTTCAGAGAAAACAGGCTTACTCGGGAGGCCTGGTGTCATCCCCCAGGCTGCGGCTGAGTGAGATCCGGTCACTGGCGAACTGGTTGAAGCAATGCCGGGTCATGCCCTCCTCCTTCTCCTTCTCCTCGTCAGGGGTGAGGTGGTCTTTCTGAAAGGGCTTCCCATCCGCCCCGGGGCTTTGCGGGTCCTGAGGCGGCCTCTCCAGGTGAGGCTTGAGTTGGGCCTGAGTGTAAAAGCCGCTGGGGCACTTGAGGTTCTGGGTGGGCTGCTCCTGCTGCGGCGGGGGCTCCGGAGCTCCGATCTGGAAGCCGATGTTGTTCACCGCGTCGCGGACCAGCACCATCACCTTGTTCCTTTTGTCCACAAAGTCCTGCAGCCAGGGCTCCCCGGCCGTGGTCAACCCAACATCCCTCTGCAGAGCCACCAGGGCCACCATGAAAAGGGTCCCCCCGAGCAGGACCAGCTTTAAAGGAGATACACGCCGGCGAGGGAATAGACGCATGGTTGGAGGTGGGATGTTCTCTCACTGCTGTAAAATGTAAAAAATAAAGGAGAAAAGGGAATCTCTTGAGGTTGACTGCTTGGTGTCTAGGATGATGGTTACGCTGTCACCTGGCTTTCAAAAATTCCTCACTCAAAGCATGACCTTTAGCTCCTTTTAGTATGTGACGGCTAAGATTCTCCCCCAGCAGACAGATAACAGGTGAGAGGGGAGATACATTGCTCAAACCGGTCTGTGTGTCTCTAGAAGTGTCCTAGCAGCTGGTGATGTGGCCAACCCGGCTCCTCCTCCCCGGTCCTCCCTTTAGGAAACAGTCCCACGGGGAGAGCGGAGAGAGTGAACAAACACACCACACCTCAGCAAACACCTGAGAGCACCTGTTCTGGCCACAGTCCACCAGGGCCAACACTGCAGCCGTGACTCTACAGGCCCAACCTGCCGCCCAACCTGCGCCGGTTAATGTGTGACACCCTCAAATCAACCAAACACCCTTCACCATCAATGATCGGCTGTCATGTGCAAAAAGGAACTGGAGTTTGCTTCCTGGAGCGTGACATAACAGAGCCCAGCTTGTGCTGGCTATGACGCCATTTCCTGCCGTTTGAAACAGGATATAGGCTTAATTGCAGTGGAGGACACATGCACGTCCTTAGGTGATGACTGTTCAGCAAGACAGTCACTCTTGCTCGATCATAATTAATTTACTTTCTTTTCAAGCCAGCTGCCTTCATCACTGATTCAAGAGAGCACTCTTGGTGTTCTAGATAGATAAACAGCATTCCTCCCTGAGCTGTGTCTAATAGACGGCCACAGTCATGACACATGACTGTCAAAATTGAGTCAGTATAATGTCCAAACATCTGGACTGAGAGGACACCAGAATGGGAAATCGTACGCACTCAGTTGAGTAGAAAAAGGCGCATCGATCGCCACTTTCTAAATGATCAGACAAACCGATCGATACGTCTTACAGTCAAAACGCGCAAGGCAAAAAATGAAAGAGGAAGAGTTGGCGGCACACATCCCGTTTTCAATGACTTTCAAAAAGTTGCTCCGATCATATAACATCACAACAAATCACTTGTGTCCTCTGAATGGGGAGATCAAAAATAACTAACCGTCAGCGGACAGAAACAATCCGACAATCCTTCAGACGAATCCCCCGTTGACACTGCTGATGAGATTTTGGCTCTGATCTATCACAATTTCCGAGGCGCCACTTACCTACAAGTGGAGTGGAGTAAGTCGTTGCCCGTCTAAAACTTCTTCAGAGTAACCAGATATTTTGCTCCTTTCAAGGGGAAGTCGCCAAACTTGTCCGATTATGATCCTCAGGTCTCTTGGAGCAGTCAAACTGGAACTGAGAGTACAGCGGACGATTTGCTTCCAACCGAACAGGTGCCATTTGTTCAGACAATTACGCAGAGCGAGTCCCCTGCTGGCCGCGCACGTCCTGAGCCCAGCTCCGTGGATCAGACACGCTGCCATTAGGTGTTTGTATATATATCTATATGTATATATGTATATGGTTCCATACAGTACTTCTTTCCAGGATGGAACCATTGTTTGTATATGGCAATAATCTTATGACAAAGACAGAACTTTACTTTTATTACCTTGATACATTCAGAAGTTTGTCTTCAAGTGGGTATATTTCTACCACCAGGGTCACAAATGAACTTCAACAAAGAGCAAATGTGGCTTATAAGACATGGCAAAACCACTGAAAGATGTTACCACGGCTAAAAAAGTTATGTTTTTCTCTTTAAATTGCCTCATTTATATTTTTTGATAGATAAATCCCAGTGGGGCCCATAGAACCTAGATTTGTGTGTGGCAGATTAAAAAAGAGTTTTCAGCGGCCACTTTCAAATGTGACATTTGAAAGAAACCATCTGATGTTACCTTGAAATATCTATCCATTCATTGTCTACACCTACTTATTCCAGGCAGGTTCACAGTGAGTCTGGGACAGAGCAAACACGGACTTAATCTATGGATTGACTCAGTTGTTGCAGTTTGTCACTTGCCAATAAAATGATCAGGTTGTACTGCTTTCTTACTAATTTACAACTAGATGTCAGAACACACCAGTGAATAAAAAGCAGCTCAATTCAACACATGTTCATGTATCACACATGTGTTATAGTAACATTAGTGCTTTTTCATCGGGGATTAGGAGGAATTTATGCCACTTAATTAATGTTCAGCATAGCGCTGTAAGTGAACATTGCAATAACCTCAACAGAAATTCATTATTTATGTGCAAGCAATTAAATACTCTCTTTTGTATCACCCTCTTGAAACCGTAGACCGTGTCTCTCAGAAAGGGAGATGGGCGCCTCTCTCAGGTTACCGTCACACAGTGCAGTCTTGATTGCAGGCTGCTGATTGACATGAGAGCATACAATAAGACACCACTTAGTGGTTTAATAATTTTTAAAAAGTGGGAAAAATTACTCACTCTTTTTGTTTGTGACAGAAAAGTGCATCTTGAAAACAAACTCACAACAGCAATGAAAAAACATTTATTGTTTTTCAAATCATTGAGAAACCTAACCAATGTGATCATTGCACTACTGCAGTCGTTAAACTCTGCTATATTTGACAGAAAGATACAACAGTGTTTATTCAACTTTTCCTCTGCAGATAAAGACAAGCCAGTGTGATGATATATTTTGCTGCTTATGAAGGCAGCATTTTGGGGCTCAGACAGAACTATGACCATATTAACACCAGGTGTTGAGCTAATATTAAATATCTTTCAGATTATGTGCAGTCCAAACTGTCAGGCCTCCAGCTCAGTTACTCATCTTCTTCATTATTTTTTTTTGCCTTTTTGTGGATAGAATACTTCATTTTTGCACTCTTATTGTTATTATTTGTCTCAAACAGAAACATTTTTGTGTGAACGGGGTTTATGAGCCTTTGTGTTTACACACAAATTTGGGAAAATACTGCAGTATCAAGTTGTGAATATTGGTCCATGAAGTATGCAACCATTTGTACCGCATAACATCAAGGCAATACAAAGCAGACAAGAGAATTTCTGCATAAACGTAATCCTGAAGCATGTCAGGAAACCAATTTACTCTCACACATTGTAACACAGTCCAGAACACAACGCTTATTCCATGTGGAATAAAGTCAGTCAAAATTACAGGCCAGTAAAAATAGCAGTAGACGTAATCCACCTCAAATGATCATTTTGACACAAAAATTAGGAATGGATACGCAGTTTTAAAGACTAATATAAAACATGCCTTGCAGAAACCAATTTGGCAAGAAAGCATTGTCATACAGTATCTAAAAAATCTCACAGTGAAAAGTTACAGTATGCCCCTTTTACAGATCAGCATTCACTTACTCACGCCCACACATACTGAACTCACACACACACACATGTATAAAATGTTTCATAGCACTATAACAATCACTCTTCAGTTATGTGGTGTTAACCAAACTGTTCTTCCTTCATTTTGTATTCCTTGTTTGTTTGTTTTTTTGCTTGAGCTAAAAATACATTGCACGGAGCAAATTGTTCAGCCATACTCTTTAAAGAACCACTAAAAGGCTTGTGTCCAGACTGAATAATCACTGACTGAAGGGAACATAGAAGGCCCCATATAAGGTACAATAGTCCAAACCAAGGTTATTGTATTCCATCTGAATATCTTTGCATATGTTTGCATGTGCGTTTTCCTTCATCAATAACTCAACAAAAAAATAAGAGTTCATCCCTGTCAACGACAGAGATTTTTCCGTGGCCTTTGCTCTCAAAAGAGGGATAATATAGCTAAGGTTATTTTACATTTATAGGATCATCAACATATTTGTCCTATTAAACATTTGCTCTTTGGTTTTTCTCCTTCATGTTGTCCTTTGCATAATTCCTTTAAAGAAATTTTGTAGTTATTTTTCTCACAAAAATAAATAATAACTCCAGATGAAATACTTGTACTATTGCTCATGACATACAAGCATCGCCACTTCCCTCCTAAGGCAACTGGGCTTCATTATATCCCCGGCAGCTTGAAAAATCCTTCAAATGTGAAAAGCACTCAGCAGTTGTGCATCTGAGTGTGTGACAAGATACAGACTGGTCTCTGCTGGCCATGCCCTGTCCCCCAGTGTGTTTGCAGGGCGCCTGGGTGCTCGTCGGCGTGCTGACCACTCAGTCTCTCTGCAGTCTCTGCCGTACCCACGCAGAGGGGAGTCACTCTGTGGTCGGCCGCTCTGTCGTTAACTGCCCTGGGGACCGCTGGTGAGGAAATAAGTGGTCATCTCCCCCTTCCCCTTCACCTTGATAACGCCCCGACGGTCCAGCTGGTATCCGCTGTTGACCAGCACGTGGTACAAGTCTGTGGTCACCTTGGAGAAGACAGACATATGACACTCAGAACAAAAGACATTCAAGCCTTCCACGGTGTCAGGCCCAGTTTTACACCGAATAAGCCTCTAAAACTCTTCTGATGAGCAATTTACAAGAACAAGAGCGAGGTTTGAGTGAAATTAGTTCAAAAGCACTTGTATTTCTATAATATACTTAGACATTAAGTGAGATGCCAAATGAAAGTGATAAGAACAATCCTAATAATAATAAGTACATTTTCAACAGCTATCTTTTCCCAAATGGCTCATTTTCTCTACATTAGTATCCGCCTAAAAACTATGCCACTTAAAATATTAATCGAAGACCATGTTCTATTTCAATTTCATTAGACGCCTTTTACCGTAGTTTAGATAGTGTGGTGTAGAGTAATTGTCCTGAGAAACTAACTTCATTTTCAGTATTTTTTCACTCTTATACACAACTCAGTGAATGATAAAAAAAACTATGAGGTTAATTTAAGCCCTGGCTTAAATAAAAAAGCTCTGGCAAGAAAGTTGCAGCAACAATATATAAAGTGTGTATGCATTGTATGACATTATTAAATCTGTAGACTAATAAATAAGGAATTATCTAATTTAGCTTGTAAATAAAAATGTTATTTGACAACGAATGAGAAGAAGTCAGCGGTTTGAACGTTTGCAGTGACATCTGCTGTACCACAGATGGCAGCACTGTTCTACACTGATCTGTCAGGGTTTCACTTTGGCCCTGATTTGCAGCAACGCTGGAATACAGCATGTCTGGCAGTAATGGGAATTCTTACATGACGGCAGCTCTGCAGAGCACACATGTGAAACAAAATGGTCTCTGCTGTGATCTGTTATTGCAGGAGTCCAAAAACATTATGCCTTAAAACACAACTTGTTTTCATAATGCCTGTATTTTCATAATGATTTGCATGTTGGGCGACCACTGACAAAGACTTGATGATTAATTTCGTAACAATGCGCTTTGGTATTTAAAGTTAGTAGGCCCAACAACTTAAATAGCAAAGTGACTCTTGTGATTACAGACGGTCACACAGTTTCCAAAAGGTGAAGGTGGGAGGTACCTGGATGTAGTCTGGAACTCCTGTGCTGTCCATTCGGCTGGCGACATTGACCGTGTTGCCCCAGATATCGTACTGGGGTTTTCTAGCTCCAATCACCCCTGCGACAACAGGCCCCATATTCAGCCCTGAGAAGAAATCATGTAGCTGTGAGCCACCATTTCATGGAAACATTAAAGCTGCTTTTGAAGAAACGGATTACTATATTTCCCCTTGGACTGACCCTATAGACTCTTTGTTGAACACATATTTATCAGATAATGTTTCAAGATTAACTTCCTCCACCCTCCTGGCTTACCTATCTTCATCTGGAAGTTGTTGAAGGAGTGCTCATTGATGTACTTCATCTGCTCTCTGAGCCTCATGGCATAGTCTGCCAGAGCCAGGATGTGTGAGCGGCCCTCTCTATCGTATGTGGAGTCGTTGAGGCCAGAGGCTGCCATGTAGGTGGAGCCAATGGTTTTGATTTTCTCCAGCTGACGGAACCTCTCCTCGCTGATTATCTAGAGACAAAAAAAATCACAGAGGAAATAAGAGAATTACATGCAGTACCTCAGTTACAGGTCAAAAGCATGTCAAGTGGCCGTGCAGCATGCGCAACCAGGAAAAGGTTGATAACTCACTGCATGAGACGAATCTAAGAAACAATTCTTATCCGTTTTTATCATTTTATGCACATCATTCAATCAGTGGTTTGCGTTTAGAAAATTGGTGGAAGTTTTACCTCATCAAAGTCGGCGATGATCTCATTAAGCAGCCTAAGACACTCGACCCCCTCATTGTTTGCCTCCAGCTCCACATAAAACTCAGAAAAGTTGCTGATGGAGGCGAACATGACAGCAACGCACTCGCAGGACTGGTAGTACAACTCATCATTCCGGCGCTCCCGGGCAAGAAAGTGGGCAGCCACGTCCTTGGGCAGGATGTTATGGAGCAGGCGGCGGTTATAGGCCTGGAGCTCCTCCATCTCCTCCTTCTCTTCAGTGGCCTTAAGAGGGACAGAGAGAAATGGGCTGGCTCAGTCACAATCTCACTGCCAGTCAGGTGACTGGAATCCTGAAGTACTCACTATTGTTGCTGTGACACCCTGGAGCCCAGGAGCAAAGCAACTGAATTTATGATAGCCGAATTCCACTTCAGCTATGTTCATCATCATGTCATGCTTGCTGACTTACTGACACAAAGGGAAGGCTTATGTGCTCTAAAAAAGTATTTTCCACCTATTACTAAACTCGTGGTACGTATGCAGGACTCCACATTATATCCACAATGAAATAGAACATTTCCAGCTGTTTGTGTCTCAAAACCCGACATTTACCTGCAGCTTCCAGAGGAAGTCGAGGCGTGCAGTGGACTCCACCTGTTGGCCATGCAAGTAGAGGGCCAGGACAAAAACCATCAGGACAACAGGGGTCATGACCTTTAGGGATACCTTGGTCACACTCTCCATGCTGCAGAGGCAAGGACGAGTTATAACAGAGAGCTTTGCGTTTTAGTTCAATTCAGTCTAAGAAAGTTTGAGAATAAGAGCAAGCTTCTCACCACTGTTCTGCAGTTTCATTGAAACTGAGTCTGCAAGAAAAGAAGAGAGAAAGTCACACCGATGAAAGACACAGGCCACTAAACTCAGCTAGAAAGAAAATATGAAATAGAACTTACTGTTGCAACGTATCATTCACAGGTGATAGTTGCCTGAGGAAAAGAACGGGAATATATTTTTAACAATCTTACAGTTTGAACCTAAACAGGAAAAGTAGGTCAGGTCATATCTTATCCACAGTATTTGGGCAGGAAGAAATTTAGAAAAGGGCGAGTGTTATTATTGGAGAAGTGTTTTTATGGCTGCTTATATGGTTGCCAGCATGTCCCCGGCGGTGGACTCACAGGGTGTTGGCAATGACCAGCAGGTCTGCGTTGTCAAACAGGGCCACCTGAGGCCACTCCACCAGCAGGATGAAAGTGAGCTGGATGAACAGCATGAGAGCCAGCTTCCCGATGCTGCTGATGTGCAGGAACACAGAGCAGGCCAGCAGGGTCAGCAGTACACTGTAGCTGAAATACTGCGGCAGAGGGGAGGCAGCGAGAGAGGAGGAAGATTTAGGTGAATATTCAAACATACTTCTCACGCAGCACACTGGAAAACAAACACGAGCGTTCTGTCGGCACACACGGACGCACGCACGGACTGAAATATTATTAGGCCAACCTCGGGGAAATGGCAGGGCACGGCCTGACTGGAACACAGAGTCAAACCGTCCTCTGCTGTCTTGGTCAGGTTATGAAGCAGGCACAGAGTCACTGATGTGTTCAGCTCATCGGCTACACAGTCCTGCAGTTTCCCTCTGCTGCAGATGAACTGGCAAAGGAGAAGGAAAGATCCGTCAGCGATCTGTCAAATTAGCTCTTTCTTCCAACAACATGCTAAACCGAGTCAGTTATAAATTCCAAAATAAATAAAGTGGCCCAACCGGCCTTCTGTGAAAATGCCACAAAGTAACTTAACAACAAGTTTCTGTAGCATACATCCCTACTGGTTTTAAGCATTTCTTATTCCACACATGTGCAAAGACAAAGCTGAATGGTTTTATGTAATGTTGATAAACATAGAATACATATGATGATTAAAAACAGACAGATCTCCATAACCCCATCTGTCATGGTAACAGATTAGGATTACAGAAGTACAGCTTTGACTCTAATTATAGCACCCCCCTAGGCAAAATACCTAATCTTTAAGCCAAAATAGTGCATACATTTCAGCCAAATGTCTTAAAATGTGCTTGGCATCAGCTATACGTATGAGGTGTGACAGATTAATGGAAGAACAGATGAAAAAAAGAAACAGAGCGGCTCCTTTGTAACTCATGTTGTGGGCCATCTTGAAACAGCATGTTCACATGAAAGAATAGATTTCATGATCCAAAAACCACTAAAGGAAGACTGCTACTGCCTACCATGTTAGCAAAAGAAGAGATGAAGAGGAGGAGGATGGAGAAGACGGCCACCAATGTGCTGTTTGCTCGAGACTGGACTATGTTCTTGGTAAGCGTCTGCAAGGCAGCTGGGAAGAGCTTTATTACAGTAAGGAGAAGATCAGATAAGCAAGAGTTAATACCATGAGTAATGCTTGCTCAAGACATATAATAAGCACACTTATCTAAAGATAACTGAAAAAGTAATCATATAAGTGGTGAGGGGGATTCGTCTCCTACTTTAATGCAGGAATAGATGACACAGATGAAGAGGATGTTAGCAAGAATGATGAAGATGCTGATGTAAAGACCAAGCATAAGTGTTGTTCTGTGGAAGAGAAAAAAGTGAGCTCATTAGGATGTACAGCTCTCATTAACTCCTCCTAAACTAATCAAGAGCACATTTCCTGTTTATGATTTAGCAGAAATCGGAAAGGCAACTTGTCAAAGAGACAACTTACTTTGGGAAAACGATCATCTGAATAAAACAGATGAAACAGAAGACCAGCACTGTACAGGCCACATATCCTCCGAAGCGATCGTCAATCTTTTTGGAGTACTGGAGACAAACAATGAGTTTAATTCAACGTGAACACCATGCACTGTCCCTTCAGTGTCTCAACAAACCTTCTTCTCGAGGTCGACTGTTTGAAAGGTGAGCAGAAACTTCTTCACGTGGTCCTTTCTCAGCTGGTCGATGCTGCGTGCATCGATGGCTCGCGCAAGGAACTCATCTACCTCCTCCTCAGAGTTCAGGGGCTCCTGAGCGCAGCGGCTAAAGGGAACATGGTACGACGGGTCACTGTGGGGCGTGACTTTGCTTCTGTGTGAATGGGCATGTTATGACAGACAGGAAGACTCAGAGCTAATATGGCATTAGTGCCGTGTTGGATCTGACCGAATTAAACCAACAGTCAGCTCTACCATGAAAGTGCTACGGTGACAGTCTGCCAGTCAAGCTCTTGGGACAAAAGTTGTCCTGATAATAAAAAACGGTGCCAGAATACTCACTTTTCTTTGCTGGATGCAGCATCGATGCCCTGAGAGAATTAAAAAAACACAAAAACAAAAGGAAAAAACAAGTGTTAAACGCAGGAGAGACAAAAATAATGAAAATGGATAAGGAATTGCGTAGTTACATTAAAACTGAAAAATAGACAAGAGACGCAGACATCTGCACAGTTAATCCCTGTGAGCCAGACTGATGTTTTAATTAATGCTCAAAGGCTTTAAATTACACCCTCTTTGCCCCTAGGGCTCAAACACTCAGAGATAGAGAGGATAGAGGAGGAGGACAGGAAAAGAATGTGGAAAAGAAAAGGAAATTAGCTCTAAACACAGAGGAGAGGGAAGTGGCAGAAAGTGAAGGTCCAGGAAAATATCTGCAGCTGCAGCCTCATCAAGTACGGCTCGGGCTGCAGATGATAAGGATTTCCCAAGGATCCTATTGGGTCTCATTTGTTTGATGGAAGAGTTCTCTCATTATGACATAGCAATTGTCTTTCCTCTTTTTGCACAACATTTCTGTGAATGTTTCCACATTAGGGTTAGGGTTAGGATTCACTGAATAATGTCTAAATATTAAGAGAAACAACAGCATTTTTGCACTATTAGTTAAGTGTTCCTGGATACTTAAAGTCACCAGCTCTACAAATAATTTAGGAAGAACTTTAATAAATGTAATATTTTGCTGTCTATTTCTTTAATATTTCAGAGGATACTGTGGGGACATTTGAATTGGGTTCTCCTCTTCCTGGTAGGAATGGTGTTTAGGATTAACACAAAGCCGGCTGTTGTCAGTCATATTTTCGAACATGCCACACACTATTCTTACAAGGTCAAAGCTAATGTGAAAGAGCAGGGATGTCTCACCATCACTGTGTCTTTATCTAAATACACTCTCTCTGTGTTGTCATTATAGAATTGTGTGTGTTTTGTTGAATTTTTTGTAAAAATGGCCACTTCTAGCTCCAAACAAGGAATATTATGACAACCCCTATCCATCTTCAATGTACAGTTTATGTTTCTCTCCAACAAGACACCGCAAAAAAAATTCCAAAGACTAAGCATCTAAAATTAGAACGGCAGGGCTGTTACGAGCCTGAAATGTAGATAGCTGGTATAAAAAGAAAATCCATATAGCCCACTGGAATAAACAGCTGGCATTTCAGTCCTGCCACAACATTGTACAAGTGTATTAAAAACTAAAGAGGCTAAACTTTTAGGATGGCCTGACATTTTACAAATAGTAATCTGAACAAAGATTTGTCTAATAACATTAGCATCTGTTCACACAGGCCTTATTCTCCAGGAAAGTCATAAAGATGGCTCAAGTAATCTGTGTGATGTTGTTTCACCTCAGGTCAGCATGGGTATTTTGTTTCTACAGCTGGCTTTACGTTGTGCTCCTCATGCATTTGTGCGTCTGTGTGTCTATGGCCATAAACCTCAGGCTCATTGTCAGATTATGTCTTCCAGAGTCAATCCCATCAGCACATCCCTCTCTACTTAGCGCAAGCACGTCTTTGATCAAGTCCAAAGCGCAATGCACTTTTTGACAAATAAGTCTGCTGACTTTTCTTACACTTCCATTGCAGGTTTTTTTCTTCCAGCGAAGAAAGGATGTCATCATTTCGGTCTCTTAAAGATTATTTAAAAAGTCTAGGAGAGAAGCTGCTATGCAGGTGGGGAAGAGTGTTAGTGCCCATCTCACCATGGTCTTGTAGACTTTGGACTCCTTGCTCCTGGCAAAGGATCTGTCGGTCATCAGTCCCTCTGTAGAATTTGCACGTGTTCGCTGTATCTTGGCCATCATGGCTTTCTCTTCTTTCTGGAAGTGGAAAAAAAAAAATCACAGGGCACGACTTTCACAAATAAGGTCCTCTAAGCCAGGTGACAAGCTATTATACTGTTTGTGAGAAATATGGCACTGGTGTGACATTTAAAGGGGTCGTGCAGACGTTCAGGAATATGTGTGCGCGCTCGACCACGCACTAACCCTTTTCTGGCTGCATCCCAGCACCAAGAAGGTCTCAATGCTGTGCTGCTTCAGGTAAGCGTTCCTCTCCCCCCCAAATCCTGGCTCCACCTCGTAGTCGCCGTTCAGGTACTGCAGTGTGGCTTTGGTGATGTGAATACGTCTGAGCACACACACAAAGGTGAGTCAGAAGTTGTGAGGTCTCTGGGACTTCGCTGGAGTGGTAAATGGAAAGGTGTGTGGGGGGGGGGGTCGGCCTTACCCCGCCTTGCCTCCGGCCTCCATTTGGTTTGCGAGCGTCACATCGTTGGACCAGACGTCAAACTGCCACTTGCGCAGGCCCAGCACCCCGCAGTGAACACGCCCGCTGTGAATGCCCACCCGCATGTTCACATTAACACCTGTCACTTCTCTCACCAGCCTGCAGAAGCGAACACGTAACACACTGCTGTCAGGAAAACTGCCTCTTCGCCGCGTCCCTTCAGAGCTGTTTGCGGCAATCAAGGCATGCGGACCTTTTTACTTAACCTACAGAGAAAAGCTGTGGGGAGTGTCTTTGTGTTTTGGTATACATCCGAGTGTGAAATTCACTCACGAAATGGCTTCAATCATGTCCACTCCCATCTCCACGCAGCAGTGGGCATGGTCAGCCCGGGGCTCGGGCAGCCCTGAAACACAGTAGTAGCAGTCCCCGAGGATTTTGATACGCAGACAGTGATTCTCCTGTGCAGCAAAGACACACGACACACATTATCACCTGCAATATCAGAGCCTTAATTACAGCTAATGCACAGCTTGCTCGGGTCAAGCAAATGCATAATTTAGATGACTCATCAGTCTCTGCATAGTTTAATTGGTGCGCATCACAATATAACCCACACATGCTGACAGACGCTATATCTTACTGGCTTTGTCACGCACACACGCACACACAGTGGGACTGCAGGCTCAAAATTACATAAGAAGCAGGGGTTCAGAGATCCGCCATGAAAATGGCAGCGGGAGGTGTTACGGGCATCTCACCGAGGCCAGCTTGTCGAAGCGAGCAAACAACTCGTTCAGAGTCATGACCAACTCTTGGGCCGTGCACTGCGACGCCAGGCTGGTGAAGCCCTCGATGTCTGCAAACAGGATGCTGCAGGCCAGGCGAGAGAGGGCGGAGATAACCCAGAGCAGTCGCAGGGGAGAGGGGAAGGACAGGGAGTCACAGAATTAGAACAGTAGATAAAGTATTAAATGTGCTAATATGGTGTAGCGTCTGCCCCTCTCCTCACTGTCCAGCTGACACGAGCAGAGGGGGAGACGCACGCGCGCAGACATTCGTTCTGCTCTGGCTCTAATCATCTTGGCTGATGTAGGTCACCATATCCAGCCCTTCCCTCTGAGAACACTAGCCCCCGTCCCCATGTCTGCATGCCTTTCATTGCTAACTTTTGATGGTAATGAAAAGCAAGGATAAACAACAGCCCAGACTAAAAGTTCAAGTTTCACTAGACAGGTGGCGCTGTGGGTCTCATGAAACCCAGCGCTGAGAACAAGAAGGCCAGCTGGACAGAGCATTCATCTCAACAAGAACATGACGTTTTAGTTGATTTTATCAAGCAAACGATTGTATAGATCACATAGTTTGTCTGCGACTGGCTCACCCTAACTCATACCTCATGTCTAAACCTTACCATCCCATAAAGTACAGACACTGAGTACTTCTTCAGTCACAGGCTGATAAGAGTTGGTCACGCCTTCCCCATAGCTGGAAAAACATTCTGTCTCGCAGACGACTAATATGTGATAATGCGATGCTCATGATTTAGAGATTCAGAGGCACCTACACTGACTGCACACAGAACTGTTTGCAGCCATCATAAGTCCATCTGCTCTGAGGGTTGAAATAAAATGACCATTTCTTGATATGTCTTTTAAAAGTCATCGGAAGTTGTTTCCACAAACACTGTTAAACTTAAACTCATTGAAAGACACCCAAGTTCTTGAGGAACAGACATTAAACTTAGTATAAAAAATAAAAGATTGAAACCAACGCTGTGTGTCAAATGAAAAAATGTTTTAACTTTTTGTTTCTCTTGACTAAAACCTGTCGGCCGTGGTCTCCAGTGATAGAAAACGCATAACAATGAGTTTCTTACAGATTTGCCAACGATATATATAAATTCAAGGCTTTTTGGTAAACACTAAAGCTACAGATACACTTTCAGATCCAAAAGCATGTCTAACGTCTTTGATTAATTTGTCTGGTGTTAGTGCTAATACAATTACCTGACCGTCAATTTAGGACAATGACAGCCGGTTGTAATCTTGGGTTACATTGCGATAATGGATTGCTCCTGTAAGTTTACACCTTGACAGGGCAAATGGCGCCGCAACCGATTATTCCGCCGAGCACAACACCTGCTCTTATGTGGGTCATTTGTGACAGAAGATCTCTGCAGGAACCTCATTTAACTTTCCTCCCACCAATGTCTCCATCATTATGGATGGAGTGTTTCAATGACCTCCACGCTGAGTTATTCCCACTCGGGGGGTGAAATCCAGCGGCGAAGGCTGAGACAATGAGCCAGCAAACTTGAGGTCATATAATTTGCTGCAGAAAGCACAGCAGTGTGCTTAAGCCAATACCGTCTCCGCAGCCAGTGCTGTCAGTGTCAATAAACAACAACATGCATAATACATGCTGTCAGGGAAATATCTGTTGGAGTCACACTGTAACTGGCACATCAATCAGCCGAGTGAGGTCAACGTCGCTCATGCTAGCTGTGACTGCTCAGAATCCAAGCTCGACAACATCTTCTTGGCCCAATGTGTTTGTGTGGGGGCAGATATGTGTCCCGCTCCATCTGGGTTTACCTAACATTGTCATGTTTCTGGATGTAGATCTTGTGAAACATCATATCTTCCTTCTTGGCATTGATATCAGCCTTCATCTCCATAGCAACATGCCTTGGCAGCACAGACAGCAGTAAGCGTTCCTAAGAGAGAGATAAAGATAGAGAAAGATTTTTTTTTTAAAGAAAGAAAGACAGAATGAGAAAGAGAGAAATTCATTCTTTTCCACTGTGAAAATGCTCAATGAGTCACTCTGGCTTGCTGGCACAAGCGTGGGAACGTGTTACTCAGATAGAGAAAAGTGGATATATGTTGTACTCTCCAGAACATATTGTTGTCCACGAAAACTGAGACAAACAAATTAGACTAGAAAAACAGAGACACCCATTTGTTGCTCATTTGCATTTGTGACATCATCTCCTACAGGGCCATAGCACCGACTGCTCTCCTGTTTATCTTTATGACTTATTCCGCCTGAACGGGGCGGGCGTCTGCGTTGGCGTACCTGTTGCTGATTCTCCCTCTGCAGGTGAAGTCTGGCCTGGATGTAACCCCTCGTCTCCTGGAAGGCTTGTCTCTGGGAGACCTCAGCAGGGTAGTGGGTGCAGATGCCGATCATATTAGTGCACAGGAAGATCAGCACGTTGGCACTGATCTGACAACACACACACAAGACGAAGAGGGTGTAAAACAAAGTATGCAGAGGTCACATCATTGGAGTACAGTAACCTTTACCTGACCTGGTGATGTCATTCAGTGATACTGATAACAGTCTAAGTCACAGAAATGACTACAAGGCAAAAAAATTCCTCACATGTCTGAGGAGCCATTAGATGCGATCTAGTTAGGAATGATGAACATAGCCTCACACGAACACTCAAAAACTGCGTGGCTCCAGATTTCTTTGCAAATCAATTGAACCTTTACCAAGACTTTCCATAGTATAAAGATGAATTAGAACTTAAAATGTAAACCAAAACAAAAAGCAGTCATGTTGAGACAAAAAGGTGATATAACCAGGAACACTGTGCTTCACTGCTGTGTAAAAGACAGACAGCGACTTTCATGCCACTGAGGGTGTGTTTCCATGTGTCGCTTTAGACTAAAACAAAAGCAGCCATTACTACAAACTTCTTTGTGATCCACCAGGGATGTGAGAATGCAGTGCGCAATCTGTGTCACATTATCTGTGCCTTGAGAAAGTTAAGTTTAGCTACGGAGTACAGTTGGCTCAGTGAGGTCATTGATCTTAAAGGCATTCATCTGTGCAGCAGCAGCCTTTTTGTGTGTGTTTTGAGACCTGTGTGTTAGGCCCAGCCTGTTCAGGATTTCTCCTCTCACTTGTCCGCGGCCAAGACTGAACATTGAGCTCTGTACTTCCCCTCAGTTTGACAGCACATGGGCATGCACACACAGACACACACACACAAACACACACGTCTTCCTCATGTTCAGCTACACACTCCAGCCTGGGAAAGTCACTTGACCTCTGACCGGAGCTCCAGTGCTTCCTCTGAAGATATCATCAATAATGAGAAAAAGACATGCGCAGGACACGCACAGTACACACAAAGAGGCTGATTTTTACTCCGTCTTACAGTGACATTATGTCTAAACGTGACATGGTGAAAAATCCAAACACCAGCACCAGTATGTCTGAGCAAGACCTGGTATGTGGCCAAACCAGTGCGGGTCCGTGCGCATGCTTGTAATTTGTGTTCGCCAAAAGCATGGTGGAGGAGATATGAAGAGCTAGAGATAGAGCATTTCTTATCTTAACAAATACATATGCGGAATATTTTCAGGGATGTGTCTTTGGCTTTTTTTTTTAATGGCATCCAAGAGACGTGTGTCCGCCGCATTAACATCCACACACGGCTTAAATTAGAAAATTCTAACACTATTGCTTAAGTGGTGGGACAGCGGCTCTGCTCACATTGTCCTGATACAAGGTTTACACTACATACACAAGAACTTAAGATTTGTTGTCATAACAAGATAGAGATAATCTAACAACCTGTGCTTGAAACAAAACACCATCGCCACAGGACAGGGAGGCAAATTCCACTCTATTACAGGAGGGACAAGTCATTCTTGCCAGCTATTCAACCTGAAAACAATTAGCTAAACCAAAACCCCCATTCCAAAAAAAGAGACTGGAAAGTAAATAAAAACAGATGATGATTCACATATATATATGTGTGTGTGTGTGTGAGAGAGAGAATCATGTATATACACAGAATTGTAAGGGCATGGGAAATGGGAAAGATAGAAGCAAAAAAGTGGAAAAGTAAGTGTTAAATCAGAAAAATCTGAAGGAAGCTGTGTTAAGTGATTTTGTGTGATTAGAGGCACGTGTAAGGTATTCTAATAAGCTTAAGCCCTATCACACTGAGAGGCACGGTACACTCAGTTTGAGCATTACTGGCTCTGCAACAAGTGACCACATTGACATTGAAGGGTTGCTCACAATCAATACAATAAAGGAAAATTAAATTGAAATACTTGCAACGTTGAGACGCCACACAATTGAGGGGCTCTGATATACAATTTTTCTGGTATTTTATGTTACACTGTTAATAGATATCCATCTATTCTCCCTGGGTTTCAGGTAAATGGGTCTGTCTCATTAACATATGGAGCAATCTGAGCTGTAGGTTGCTTTTGGTTGCGTTGCTGTTGTTGTTGGTCCTCTAACTTTGTCTATGCAAACACAGATCTGCTGTTTTGGAGTGAAAGAAAGTGTTAAGGCACTAACTGTTTAATGCAGCTGTCACTATTAGTTCTATTTCTGTCTTTTTATTTAATTATGGAAATAGTTTTCATTTGAGCACTATGGAATTACAATTTTCATTGGACTGGAATATAAATGCATTAAAAAGAACTGGATTATAGGTGGACCATGTCTCCAAAATGCCTTGAGGGTCCTTTATATTTGTTGTGATTTGATGCCATAGAGTGTAATCTAATTTCCAACAGCACGCCTGTTCGCTTGTATTGAAAAAAATTCTGCGGGGCCTGAGAGGGACATACTACCGCCACTGAGAAGGTATAACAGTTTTTAGGAGGAAGGTTTGCCAAAAAATAATTATGTCCAAGATATTAGTGGTACCTTTCTAGAACGACCCCCTTTGATGTCAGTAGGTTTTTCAGTCCACATAAATGCGTGTAAAAGCTGTGGCACTGATGGTTCAGACAGCAAACTCCACCTCCATTAACTTCTTTAGAAAAACTGCTTTTCATCTTCATAGCAATGTCACACAACAGAAGCTGCTCTGGCAGCACACGGTGACAAGATATCACATTGAGACAGTTGAGTTGGCATTTTTTTATCCACCAATAAGTGAGACTAAAGTGTGGGGAAACGTGAGCAACAAAGCTTAAGTCATATGTTTAGTCACCGCACAGTCAAGAGATTACAGGCAGCATCCTTCCCCAAAATTTCTGAAGCTGGTGCGTGAGCTGTGCATGTGCACATCTGAGATCCTTTTGAACTGGCAGCTCTTTGATCCAGATGCGTGTTGTGTCTGTTGCAGCACTTATATCACACAGGCCTGCAGATTCAAAAAGAGGCAACTAACAATTTCTGCCTCCCCTAAACAGCAGAAGGAGCTTCTTGCATTTCTCTCTTTATACATTCTCTTTATAATGATCTTGATTTAAGAATATCTTCCACTGTTGTCCGGTGACAATTCGTACAGCAGATTTTATTTGGCTCTGATCTTTAGCTACAACATTTACTTTTGTGTGGACTTCTTGGCGGCGAAGTTAAAAGGAGTCCAAACATTGGCTTATAAGGTGCGGCGTATGGCGAGGTCCTTTAGAAAGTAAAGCAGAGGAATAGACAGAAATGAAGGAAGGGGATGGAAAAGATTTCTCTTTGGCAAACACACAGCAAATCCACTCTGTCTTTAACAATATCCCACTGGACAATCCTCTAAAGCACAACAAGCAAGCTGGAATGTGCGTGTGCGCAGGTCGAGAGCCAACCATTTATGCAGTGATAAAAAGCAACGGCAACGCCGCCACAGTGATAAATAAAAGATCATTTCATTAGTAGTCACCACGGTGCTTCTGCTCTGTAGTAACTCTGACTGTTTTGTTCTTACGTAGTTTAGGGAAATAACATGTTTATGATTTTGTAACTAAAACAAAAAATCAAGGGACTGCAAAAAATAAGAACTGATTCAAATTACTACTGAAAATGTATAATCCGTATAATTATTGTGTGACTCTATACTGAAGGGCTTAAAAAGAATTTTGATGAGATATAAGTTTGAATGCTTCAGTAACACTGAGCTCAGAAAGAATCTGGAACTTAAACTTTATAAGGGCAGAGGGCTACATCCCATAAGTCAACACTCAGGCTCTCGGGACACTGGCTGCTGTTGACATGGGGGCTACTCTCAAGCAAATGACCTTTGATAGGCATCTGGAGCTTCTAAAATGTCTGACAAAGATGAACGTCAAAACCCAGTTACTCTGAAAAGATAACATGGGGAACAAGAGTTGTAAAAATAGACAATAGTTTGAAACTTGTTGCACTAGCCGCAATCTAATTGGGGGTTACTATGAGATATAATTACTGACAGGGAAAGAAGCTTTTCCTTATAAAGATAAATGCTACAGAGGGGTGTGGGTGCCTGTCTTTGCCAGTTTGGGTCCCTGCCATCTGGAATTGAGTTCTGTTTTTGTAATGACTTGGGCCAAACCAAATTGGTCTCAGGCGACTGAAGAGACGTAGAAGCAGTCTTGGTGAAAAGCTGATGCTAATTCCATGAAGCTAAACAGAGTAGGACGTAGGCCGCACATCTGTCAGAAAACTAGATGCTCAGTTAATGCTGGCATGAGAAAAATCAAATAGGTAATATTTCCCACATCTCCCAGAATTACTGACAAACCGATCTGCAGCCACCAGCTTAAGCTGCCCACTCAATCCTCCTAAACAGACATTTTTCTTCAAGTCCAAAGATTTAGAGTACACATTTGTCCTCCTACTCCGAAATCTCAACCCAGATTTATTAAATTCCTCGTTATGGACAATGTGCAAATATGTGGCCATGATTTTTATTACTTTTCTTCGTCTACGTTATCTGCATTATCCCAAATAACTCCAGGACAGAAATGAAGGTGAAATAATGAAGCGACAGAGGACTTACTGGGAATACAGTGACAAGAGAGGAACTACTCTGGCTCAGCTCAAAAGATCCAGAAGGATTCCTTGCTGTTACTTTTTCAATCTTATTTAAAGCTTTGAATAAAGCTGTTGCTAAAAAAAAAGCCAAAGGGTTGCATTACCTTTCCTTAATAAAGTCTTGAAACTGGCTACACTCTCTGAGAACTAATCAGCAGCATCTCAGGTCTAGGTCTGCTGTAGGAACATTAATCATCTGACCTTCCGCCCTTTCTTTTCCCATGATTTCCTGTCTGAAGTACATGAAATGAATGTGCAGCCTCAGGTTTTGAAGAGATTTATGCACTGCCCGACGTACTGCCCCTGCGTTAAGCATTACCCATTCCCTTTGCCCATTATCTAGCTGAAAATAATGGTTGAATTCTTTTGTTCTGCTGAGCAAGAAACAACTTATTTCAACTTATTTTTTTCAGAACGCGAGATATATTGATCTAACAATCCATCATCGTTATATACAGAAAATATTTCTGGAACTACTT